TATGTGACAGCCCGGTGTGTGACAGTCAGTGTGTGACAGTATTATGTGACAGAACGGTGTGTGACAGTATTATGTGACAGTCCGGTGTGTGACAGTGTTATGTGACAGCACGGTGTGTGACAGCACGGTGTGTGACAGTATTATGTGACAGCACGGTGTGTGACAGCCCGGTGTGTGACAGTATTATGTGACTGCCCGGTGTGTGACAGTCAGTGTGTGACAGTATTATGTGACAGCACGGTGTGTGACAGTATTATGTGACAGTCCGGTGTGTGTGACAGCACGGTGTGTGGCAGTATTATGTGACAGCACGGTGTGTGACAGTCAGTGTGTGACAGCACGGTGTGTGACAGTCCGGTGTGTAGCAGCACAGTGTGTGACAGTATTATGTGACAGTCCGGTGTGTGACAGTATTATGTGACAGTCCGGTGTGTGTGACAGCACGGTGTGTGACAGTATTATGTGACAGTCAGTGTGTGACAGTATTATGTGACAGCACGGTGTGTGACAGTATTATGTGACAGTCCGATGTGTGACAGTATTATGTGACAGCCCGGTGTGTGACAGTCAGTGTGTGACAGTATTATGTGACAGTCCGGTGTGTAGCAGCACAGTGTGTGACAGTATTATGTGACAGTCCGGTGTGTGACAGTCAGTGTGTGACAGTATTATGTGACAGTATTATGTGACAGTCAGTGTGTGACAGTATTATATGACAGTATTATGTGACAGTCCGGTGTGTGACAGCACAGTGTGTGACAGCACTATGTAACAGTCCAGTGTGTGACAGCACTATGTGACAGTCCAGAGTGTGACAGTACGGTGTGTGACAGTCAGTGTGTGACAGTATTATGTGACAGTCAGTGTGTGACAGTCCGGTGTGTGACAGCACGGTGTGTGACAGTCAGTGTGTGACAGTCCGGTGTGTAGCAGCACAGTGTGTGACAGCATGGTGTGACAGTCAGTGTGTGACAGTATTATGTGACAGTATTATGTGACAGTATTATGTGACAGCCCGGTGTGTGACAGTATTATGTGACAGTCCGGTGTGTGACAGTCCGGTGTGTGACAGTCCGGTGTGTGACAGTCAGTGTGTGACAGTATTATGTGACAGTCCGGTGTGTGACAGTATTATGTGACAGCCCGGTGTGACAGTCAGTGTGTGACAGTATTATGTGACAGCACGGTGTGTGACAGTATTATGTGACAGCACGGTGTGTGACAGTCAGTGTGTGACAGTATTATGTGACAGTCCGGTGTGTAGCAGCACAGTGTGTGACAGCATGGTGTGACAGTCAGTGTGTGACAGCACGGTGTGTGACAGTATTATGTGACAGTCCGGTGTGTAACAGCACGGTGTGTGACAGTATTATGTGACAGTCAGTGTGTGACAGCACGGTGTGTGACAGCACTATGTGACAGTCCAGTGTGTGACAGCACGGTGTGTGACAGTCAGTGTGTGACAGTCAGTGTGTGACAGTATTATGTGACAGTCCGGTGTGTAGCAGCACAGTGTGTGACAGCATGGTGTGACAGTCCGGTGTGTGACAGTATTATGTGACAGCCCGGTGTGACAGTCAGTGTGTGACAGTATTATGTGACAGCACGGTGTGTACAGTATTATGTGACAGCACGGTGTGTGACAGCACAGTGTGTGACAGCACTATGTGACAGTCCAGTGTGTGACAGCACGGTGTGTGACAGTCAGTGTGTGACAGTATTATGTGACAGTCAGTGTGTGACAGTCCAGTGTGTGACAGTCCGGTGTGTGACAGCACGGTGTGTGACAGCACGGTGTGTGGTCAGTGTGTGACAGTATTATGTGACAGTCAGTCCGGTGTGTAGCAGCACAGTGTGTGACAGCATGGTGTGACAGTCAGTGTGTGACAGTATTATGTGACAGCACGGTGTGACAGTATTATGTGACAGCACGGTGTGTGACAGTCAGTGTGTGACAGCATTATGTGACAGCACGGTGTGTGACAGTATTATGTGACAGCACGGTGTGTGACAGCCCGGTGTGTGACAGTATTATGTGACAGCACGGTGTTTGACAGTCAGTGTGTGACAGCCCGGTGTGTGACACTCCGGTGTGTGACAGTATTATGTGACAGTCCGGTGTCTGACAGTATTATGTGACAGTCCAGTGTGTGTGACAGCACGGTGTGTGACAGCACTATGTAACAGTCCAGTGTGTGACAGCACTATGTGACAGTCCAGTGTGTGACAGCACGGTGTGTGACAGTGTGTGACAGTATTATGTGACAGTCAGTGTGTGACAGTATTATGTGAAAGTCAGTGTGTGACAGTCCGGTGGGTGACAGTATTATGTGACAGTCAGTGTGTGACAGTCCAGTGTGTGACAGCACGGTGTGACAGTATTATGTGACAGCATGGTGTGTGACAGCACTATGTAACAGTCCAGTGTGTGACAGCACTATGTGACAGTCCAGTGTGTGACAGCACGGTGTGTGACAGTCAGTGTGTGACAGTATTATGTGACAGTCAGTGTGTGACAGTCAGTGTGTGACAGCACGGTGTGTGACACTCCGGTGTGTGACAGTATTATGTGACAGTCCGGTGTGTGACAGTATTATGTGACAGTCCGGTGTGTGTGACAGCACGGTGTGTGACAGCACAGTGTGTGACAGCACTATGTAACAGTCCAGTGTGTGACAGTCCAGTGTGTGACAGCACGGTGTGTGACAGTCAGTGTGTGACAGTATTATGTGACAGTCCGGTGTGTAGCAGCACAGTGTGTGACAGCATGGTGTGACAGTCAGTGTGTGACAGTATTATGTGACAGCACGGTGTGTGACAGTATTATGTGACAGTCCGGTGTGTGACAGCACGGTGTGTGACAGTCAGTGTGTGACAGTCAGTGTGTGACAGTATTATGTGACAGTCGGTGTGTGACAGCACTAAGTGACAGTCCAGTGTGTGACAGCACGGTGTGTGACAGTCAGTGTGTGACAGTATTATGTGACAGTCCGGTGTGTAGCAGCACAGTGTGTGACAGCATGGTGTGACAGTCAGTGAGTGACAGTATTATGTGACAGTCCGGTGTGTGTGACAGCACGGTGTGTGACAGAACAGTGTGTGACAGCACTATGTGACAGTCCAGTGTGTGACAGCAAGGTGTGTGACAGTCAGTGTGTGACAGTATTATGTGACTGTCAGTGTGTGACAGTCCGGTGTGTGACAGCACGGTGTGTGAAAGTCAGTGTGTGACAGTATTATGTGACAGTCCGGTGTGTAGCAGCACAGTGTGTGACAGCATGGTGTGACAGTCAGTGTGTGACAGTATTATGTGACAGTATTATGTGACAGCACGGTGTGTGACAGTATTATGTGACAGTCTGGTGTGTGACAGCACGGTGTGTGACAGTCAGTGTGTGACAGTATTATGTGACAGTCAGTGTGTGACAGTCCGGTGTGTAGCAGCACAGTGTGTGACAGCATGGTGTGACAGTTAGTGTGTGACAGTGTTATGTGACAGTATTATGTGACAGTATTATGTGACAGCACGGTGTGTGACAGTATTATGTGACAGTCCGGTGTGTGACAGCATTATGTGACAGTCAGTGTGTGACAGTCCGGTGTGTGACAGCACTATGTGACAGTCCAGTGTGTGACAGCACGGTGTGTGACAGTATTATGTGACAGTCCGGTGTGTAGCAGCACAGTGTGTGACAGTCAGTGTGTGACAGTATTATGTGACAGTCCAGTGTGTGACAGTCAGTGTGTGACAGCATTATGTGACAGTCAGTGTGTGACAGTCCGGTGTGTGACAGCATTATGTGACAGTATTATGTGACAGTCCGGTGTGTAGCAGCACAGTGTGTGACAGCATGGTGTGACAGTCAGTGTGTGACAGTATTATGTGACAGTCCGGTGTGTGTGACAGCACGGTGTGTGACAGTCAGTGTGTGACAGCATTATGTGACAGTCAGTGTGTGACAGCATTATGTGACAGTCAGTGTGTGACGGTATTATGTGACAGTCCGGTGTGTGACAGCATTATGTGACAGTCAGTGTGTGACAGTCCGGCGTGTGACAGCATTATGTGACAGTCAGTGTGTGACAGCATTATGTGACAGTCAGTGTGTGACAGCATTATGTGACAGTCAGTGTGTGACGGTATTATGTGACAGTCCGGTGTGTAGCAGCACAGTGTGTGACAGCATGGTGTGACAGTCAGTGTGTGACAGTATTATGTGACAGCACGGTGTGTGACAGTCAGTGTGTGACAGCATTATGTGACAGTCAGTGTGTGACAGCATTATGTGACAGTCAGTGTGTGACGGTATTATGTGACAGTCCGGTGTGTGACACAGCATTATGTGACAGTCAGTGTGTGACAGTCCGGCGTGTGACAGCATTATGTGACAGTCAGTGTGTAACAGGTGACGGCCGGCCCGCAGAGCTGACAGCGGGGGTCTCGGGCCGGGAGGGGGCGGTGCGGCCGTGCTTACTGATAGGAGCAGGCCCTACTTCACTGTCACAGCCAGCACCAGGGACAGCGGCCGAGACCAGCACTGTCAGCCTCCGGTACGGCTCATCCCTCCGGCCCTCCCCCGCCCGTCTCACCTGTCAGCCCCATCAGGTTCCCGTCCGCCGCCGCCGCCGCCGCCGCTCTCCACTGACAACACGGCGCAGTACGGAGGCCCGGAGAGGACACGATAGGACAGCAACGGGAGCAGCGACCGCGCATGCGCGAGGACCAGCCGCGCCAGACAAAGACATCATCAGCTGGGCAGCCGGACAGCGCTGTCACTATAGGCTGTCACTGGCTGCACGGCACCCACCGCACCAGAACCCACAGATACACCGGGGGGCCCTCAGCACGCAGCCCGCCTGCAGCCCAGATCGTTAATGTAGAAACCTCCTGAGGAGGATCTCCACTGACAGACCCCTAGCCGTGTGTGGCTGGCTTACTATTACATTGTATAACAGGAAAATACATGGGAGGACATAGCACATAGATAATACCCCACCCAAAATATTATGGGACCCACAAAATGCATCCCTATAAAACATGTGCATGTTATTCTGGTGGTGGATGGACCCTATAGTGATATGATTGATTGATTGATTGATTGGATAATAGATAGTGTGGGGATGTTAGAATGCATTGGTTGACTTTGCCAATAGTATTCCATGATGGGGGTAATTTTCATTCTGGGCTGCCATATGGTCTCCAAGGCAACATAGGCACAGCAAACCAACCTGGCAAAATTCAATGTCTAAAAACTGAAATAGACAAGTCATAATATTTGACCCTGTATCTTCCCAAAATCCCATAAAACCTGTGCATCTGGGGCATTTTTAAGTTGGTTGTAAACTTTTGCAACTGGTATTCCATGATGGGGGTAATTTTCATTCCTGGGCTGCCATATGGTCTCAAAGGCAACATAACCAATCTGGCAAATAATGTGTAAAATACTGAAATGGGCAAGCTCTTTATTTGATTAACTTCCCAAAACACCATGAAACCTGTACATGGGCCACCATTGTACTCATGCAACAACACAGCATAGAATGGTGTGAGTTTTATTGCAGTAAAAGCTAACAGTGAAATTACATTCTCAGTTAAAATGCCACGCAGAAGTTGGATATTAATGTTCAATTTCTCACACATATTTGATTGTTATTCATATTAAATTATGTTATATATATAAATATTTGATGTATAATACAAGCCTTGTTTCTGCTGAACAAAATGATATATAATAAGTGCACTTAATATGAAAGTAAACGAAAGTTGAACAAACATATTGATCAAATTCTAGATTTTGTTTCTGTCAGAAGTTTTACAATTGCCTCCATCCTCAAGAAGTTAAACACAGGGAAGATGGAAAACCATTCATCTAGGATACCTGGGAACAGATGATTATGAGACCTCAGAGTCTTACACTCTCTCCCTCACATATCGAACTGGTCAAAAAGCTTCTTTACCGGTGGTACTTTTGTCCTCACCCGCACACATCAGTCCAACTAAAACCAACAAATGTTAGAGAGGTTTCTCAGAAGAGGGAACTATGGCACACATATGGTGGAGCTGCTCGCAAACTTCTGGCAAGACATAGCGAAAATTATTGGATCAAGCACCGGGGTGCAATTGCCACACGCACTAGAATGTCATGTGCTCTTCAATTACCCAATTATGCAACCAAATCAATAAAATCTTTAATACTGTTATACCAGCTCTATTAACTATAGTGCAAAACAGAACAAACCTGTACCATATGAATAGAGAATCAGAAAACCGGGTGTATTTGATAAAGGTAAAATACCAGCAAATTTGGATAATACCACAGGCCCAATGGAAATATGTTTTGTTGAGGAAGCTGGTAGAGAGTAAGCGACATATTAAGTCATATCCAACAGCCGTACCCATGGATGCATTGCCAATTCTGTATAATGATATAATTTTAACTGAATAAAGTTAAAGAAGATTATAGCTGTATGATTAATGCAAATGTAATATTCAGTATTAACACCCCTTTCCGGTTTAATTTAATTGGGACCAAGTATTTTAAATTTTCATACAACAGAAGCCATGAGATAGGGCAGCTACTTTTTCCATTGTATAAGATTTTTTTATTTTTTTTATCTGAATATGTGATTTGTATGCATAAGAATTGAGTCTCAATAAAATACAATTTGCAAAAAAAAAAGTTAAACACAACAATAATAAATCAATATTTGGTGGAATAACCCTGATTTTCAAATCAGTTGTCATGCATCATGGCATGCTCTCCACTGCTGGTGCAAACATTTGAGCAGCTTTGTTTGATGGATTGTGACCATTTGGGTTCAGGTGTACAGATCCATCCACATCTTGATTGACACATCTTCCCACTATGCAAGAATTATTGATCTAAAATTGCACAATTGCACTAATTAGATCAAAAGAAACTATGTTATGCTGTGTAGAAAGTATTGCAGTGATCAAGGACACTTTTCTTTTGTCACATTATTTATGAAAGAGAGCATTAACTTCCATTTGTTTTTCAAGGTGAAGAATTCAGTGATCATTTCACAGGCAGGTCCCCTTATTCTTTTATTTTTTACTTTCATTCCTTACTTAAATACCTTTATTTGGTGTATTAGACAAGAATACAATAGCTGTGGTGTAGTAAAATGCACTCTATCAAAATCTTACAATTGGTCAAAAAGGGCAGATATCTATTCAAGGCACTCACTTGGTTTGATCAGTTTTATCATGTCAGTGCATGGGAGACTGATGTTGGTTGCACTCTGGAAACAATCTTTAATCAAGATATTTGGAATGCCTTCACATATTACAGAGCTTCTATCTCAACCAGATGTATAGGATTTCAAAGTGTTTTTTTTTTTTTTTTTTATGTCTGGTGTTCCTGTGTTCCATTAAAGACTTTGTTGGAATGGATTTTAACTGACTTTCTTGGAGTGGATTATCTCCAAATACATGAGATGGATTGTTTTATTTTCTAAACACCAAGTGTTGGTTACAATTATAAACTCACTATGCACATACTATAGTTGTGGGAGAAAACATGCTACTAACAGTAAAACATACACTTTTTTAAAGAAAATAAGTCACACGGGCACATAGCATATTTTAAAATAAAAATATCTTGGAAAAATAATACCAGCCACAGGAAAATGAAATGGTATACAATTCAAATATTGGATGTTCACGTAAACATTTTGCACCTCTGATCTTTGGAAGGGTGAAAGAATGGTCTTACCTATGAACTAATGACATACCAAAAATATATCAATAGCTTTGCTTAACCCTCTAAGTTTGACCACATTGACTAGTTCTGCTTATACCTGGCTGTAACATTAAACAGATGTTACTGTACAAGAGTGTTCTAACTGAAACAGAGCATTTAATGTTAGAGTTGTTCAACTTGGACAGTGCTCACAGTTTCCAAACTACGGTATTACACACAATGGTTGTCAAACTTTTGCTGGACTAGAACGTCTATCAGCTCTAGATTAATGGTGGGAATTTCATTCCAATAAAAGTTGTCAGACTGAGAATTTCTCTAATCCTATTAGAACATACTGATGATGACACCCAGTGTATAGGCAATAAACATAATGATGGTAACTTTTTTTTTTTTTTTTAATTATATTATTATAATAAAACAGAATTTGAACTGTACAAAAGAACATAAGGAAGAGGTGACATTTGCTACTGCAAAAAAAAAAAAAGGTATAAATTACATTTTAGTAACAAACGGTTGTCCAATTAATTGTGCAATAAAAATTAAAACCGCAAACTGTTAACACATATCAAAGAAGGGAAAATGCCACAGATTCCATTAGCTGAAACCAATGAGTTGTTCCCCTTGCAGAAAAGGTTTAATATTGGATGAACGCTATAGTTTTCTTTAAAAAAAAAAAGGTTGCACAGAAGTGTTCTTATTTGTATAAAAATAGCAAAGATGTCCAAGTTATACTCTGTATTGTCTTTTTTTTTTTTAAACCTGATTCTGAAGCAGTTCCTTTATAATGGCCCCCTATGAAAATTAGAGGTGGGTGGTGTCTAATAATTATATTGACACTGGCATTTACACCCACAAAGGCCACGGAAGTGATACCTGTTATTCCAGCTATGGCTTTTTCCTCTCTGACCACCAAAGGATGGGATTGCATTAAGTCTGTGTAGTCTAATAAGTGCACATGCATGCACACAATTCATCCAAATACATGTATGTACAAATACACTTGCAATAATGAATTGCCAAGCTCTGTTGCATACAATATTGATTTGTGCTACTGTAAATACAGTGTCAGTCGCCTTTATCCATACATTAAAAATGTATGTACAATATAAATTTTGCAGCCTAAAATTTTCAGGCTCCTACAGCCAGCAAAACATAATCCAAAACTGTATGTACACGTGTGATAACAATCAGGTATTGTATGATTTTTAGGGAATAAAAATGTACATTATCTGCATTCACACAACCAGCGCGCTAGCCATGAGCTACTGAAAATATCAGATTTCTTTTCGGATATCTATGTGCCTGCATTTTCAGTCAATGGATTGTGATAATACAAGTATTCCCTGAAGTAAATGAAAGTTTGCCTTGTCTTTTCTTAGTCTGTGGAGCAGGATTCCACACATAACCAGAACTACGATTCACATGTAACTAATATTGTTCCCCATCTACGATCAACCTATTCCAACTGGTTCTCAGCTCGGTTTAGTGGGTGCTTTGATCCTGACAGTAGGTGTCCGAACTTGCAGCTTTGCCTGCTGATTCTGTACATCTGTTGTAACTGTTGATACTGCTGTTGTCTGGTTGACAGAGGCCTGTATCTGTGGAGAAGCTGCTGCTGCCGCCGCTGCCAACACCTGCTGCTGGAGCAATTTCTGCTGTACAACCTGTGCTGCTGCTGAACCGGCTGGTATGACCTGAACCTGTTGCTGACCTGTGGCCGTAGCCTGGGTCAGAGTCACAGTCTGTGGCTGGACCTTCAGAAGAAAGCAAACACAAAATAAATATTGGGCAAAGAAGAAAAGGTTTGTTTTTTTTCTAAACAAAGTGGGACACTATGAATGTCAGGTGTTTCCAATGTATCTAAGTAAGACTCCTAAAAAGGAACTGTTACATTCACACAATGCAGTTTTTGCTTGAAAAGAATTGTAGCAGATGCACAACATTAACAGGCTGATGATACAAAATAATTCCATCCAATGGTACATTAAAGGCTCTTTCTTCCTACCTGTTGTGATGCAGACACAACCTGCTGAAGAGTAGCAATCGCTGCTTGTTGTTGAACCACCTGAGGAAGTTTTGCAACCTGCAATAACACAACAAAAAAAACAATCATATGGCAATGTGATGTGGACAGAATTTAACGTAAGGCTGTGCACATGTAGCATCAGTAGTAAGAGGAATATTTGGACATAGCAGTCACATCCTCTGTTAATATAGTTTAAAAGGTTCATTTGTGTATGAAATTGGTACAGTGGACATTATTTAAATGTCACTTCCTCTAAACAACTTTAGCTTTATGAAAAGCTTTATGTGTGAAGAGTGTGTCCTATATTTTCATTTTGCAAAAAAAGTGCAGATTTCAATAGAAATTGACACTTTTATAAATTAACTTTGTTACACTCCCATGGCTTTGAAGCAGACAACAGGTAATTTTACTTCCTGGTTTCGTTAGCTCAATGCAGCTGACCTCAAGAGGCAGCAATTGCCCAAAGCACCTGACTTACAAAGACTTCTCATTGAGCTGTATTGGACAGTCACAGAAAGCCTGGATAAGGTTAAAAGAGGAGAGCTTGCAAAGTCTTCAGAAAATAGAACTGCAGCTGTTGCAAGCTGTTCTTAGATATACCCCCAATGAAAAAAATACATAATAAAATGCATGCAAGTTTTCTTTTGGAATATATCTACTAAATATGGATTTTTGTTTATATTGTATTTGGGCAGTGGAGTGTCCGTTTAAGGGCTCCTAGTAAGGAAGTCTGTTGATGGCAGCATTTAGAGATATCAATTCAGTAGTGTAAAGAATAAAAGTTCTAGCAGACAATACAGTGGTTTGTATCGTTCATGCATTTCTGGGTGTCTATCTTATTTCAATCACATTTACTTCTGTCAAAGAACCAGAAGGTTGTTTTTTTTTTTTTTTTTTTTTTTTAAGTTTAGTAGCTTTGTAAGTTCTAACCATGCAGTAAACATAAAGATAGAAGGTATGCAGTAGCTTATCTCCTGAGTGGGGGTTAACCCCTAGTGAAATGAATTCATTAATAATGCACAAAAGTGTGAGGGGAACAGGAGAGAAAGGATATTGGTAGAGTATCCTATGGAGTGGAATACCCCACTAGTTGCAGGAAACAGTAAGGGTACAGTAGAGAACTTAACGTGCAACCTTAATGTGTGAATATTAAAACTTAACTTTTAATGATACATTTCTAATATGTAAAAACTGTTGAGAGTCAACACCCAAAAACACTAGTGTGTAAAACAAAAAATAAATGAATAAAATCAACACTTGCATAAAGTAATATGTGAGGGGACTATTGTCTAAACTGTTCGTGGTAGCTGTAGTTTTAAGACAATAAGTCCAGTAGTATCTGGGAGTCCCAGCCAGGTATTTACCAACACTTGTCTGGGATATGTCACAATTTGATACAAACATTTGTAGTGGGGATTATGGTCTAAATTGTGCATGGATGCTATAGTTAAAGACAAAAGGCCGGGTAAAGAGAGTCCACTTGTATCTGGGGGCTGCAGAAAGGTGTTTCCAACACTTGGGACACAATTGTCTGGGATTAGCAGCAAGTTGAAACAAAATGAATAGTGGGGGTTTATTGTCTAACCTGTGCACAGTTTAGACAATAATATCCCAGACAAGTGTTGGTAAATACCTGGCTGGGACTCCCAGATACTACTGGACACACTGGACTTATTGTCTTAAAGCTACAGCTACCACGCACAGTTTAGACAATAGTCCCCTCACGTATGTGGGGTACTTTATGCAAGTATTGATTTTATTCTATTTGATTTATTTATTTTTTGTTTTACACACTAGTGTTTTGAGTGTTGACGCTTAACAGTTTTTACATATTAGAAATGTATCATTAAAAGTTAAGTTTTAATATTCACACATTAAGGTTACACGTTAAGTTCTCTACTGTACCCTTACTGTTTCCTGCATCTAGTGGGGTATTCCACTCCATAGGATACTCTACCAATATCCTCTCTCTCCTGTTCCCCTCACACTTTTGTTTATAACCATGCAGTAATTAATGAAATGTGCAAGTCTAGTGTAGATTCTAGATGGCAGATACTAGTTCACAGTGCTGAGACCTGGAATGATATTCAAGTACAACTCATCATTTTCAACTGAATACAGGCCAAGGATAGGCAACCTTTGGCACTCCAGATGTTTTGAACTACATCTCCTATAATGTAGCATAAATGTGGAAAAGCATCAGGGTATATGTAGTCAACAATATCTGAAGTACCTTGCTCTGCTATAGGCAGTGATGTGAGGGTTAATAATAAAGCAGGTGTGTGTCCACTATTGATTATTTTACTGTAATTTGTCTTAGTGTATTTATTTAAACCAATTTATTGACTGTGCTGACAAATATTGATTTGGGTTAAACAGCTCACAAATCATTCAGGAATGAATTTCTGAAATTTGAGCTACTGTAGGCACTTTTAGGGCTAATCGGGTGATTCAAAACAGCTCTGAATGGGAATGCATCCAGGAAAAGAAGAGGAAGATTTGTAAATTATGAATGATCGTATATCCAGTTAAGTACTTTCATAACTTATCTTACATATTGGATTGATTACTACAAATCTACCCTGAAGGCCTTGGAATATTTAGAGGTTAGTAAATAATTATGACAGTGATTAGATGAAAATAAAAAGCCATGTTGGGATCTGAAAACGCATCTGGAAATGTGTTATTTTAAATATGGGTGTATCTAAAAACAGCTTGCAAGTCCTCCCCTTCAAACCCAGTCTAGAATAACTGTGGCTGTCCAATTACAGACTTCCCCAATGAGCTCAGTGAGAAGCATTGGCAATGCAGGTGCTCTGGGCACTTATCCACCTCTTGTGTTTAAATCCACTGAGCTAAGTAACCATGACCTGTTGTCTGATTGACAACCAGGGTTAATTTGGAAAATTTTACAATTTCTATTGAAGAGGACACACTCTTCACACCTAAAGCACTTCATCAAGCTAAAAAGCTTCAAATGTTTGGAGTGTTCCTTTAATTTGATTCTTCAGTACTTAAAAACACTATAGCGTTCCAAATACAAACCTGTATTCCTAATGCTAGAGTGTTTTCCAATTTATTTAGCTTTGGGGCCACTAAGTTAAACAACCTGTAAGGAACAGGACCAGTTGTATTAATGACTGCCAGTGAGGTATAACAATGTTAATTTATTAAAGGGTCCATTTCTATTGAAAGCTGCACTTTTTAAAAGCAGAGGAAATCCTCTTCACACACAAAGCACTTCAGCAAGCTAAAGTGCTTTAGTTGTTTGGGGCATTTCATTAAAGGGACACTGTAGTCACTATAAGCATTTCATCTCTTTGAATTGGTTATAGTGCCTGGAGTACCCTGGTACTGTCCCTCCATTCAGTGTTGCACTATGTTCGTGCAGTATGCCACAAAATAAGAGTCCCAGGCCACCCACAGTACGGCCCCTTCAGTATGTGTAGCTAAGGCAGAGATTACACACTTCCTTGTTGTCATACCCACTCATACCGTCAGTTGGAACTCTGACAGGCTAAAAGCAGTCAGCTGACACCCTCAGCTGCCCATTTCTGCTCAGGCTAATACTTCCTTATTAGCCAAAGCAACACAGAGGGGATGGATTGCCGGGCACTCTTGTTTAGCATTAAAACATTAAAACTTTAAAAACTGTTTAATGCTGATAGAAATTATGGGACCATAAGACTCCAGACAATATAACCAGTTTAATGAGATGAAGCAGATACAGTGACTAAGGTGTCCCTTTAACACACATGTAGAAAAGACCTTAAACCACGATATTAACAAATCTTACTACTGTTTACCGTCCCATGGTGCATGCTTAAATGGTTACTCTAATGCATCGTAACCACTACAGCTCGCTATGACGCCAGGAGTACCCTGCCATGGTTGCCCAGTAACAACAGTTTGCCCCCTTAACTGGGTCCCCACAGGCATCGCCATCCATGGACATGAGAGCATCCGCTGACCACTCTAAATCAATACTGATATTCTGTGCTATGAAATTTATAAAGAATTGACATTAGCCAGCCCTGAACTCTAGCTCCGGGATGGCCAATGACACACCGAATGATATGGAGCTACAGAAGGGTTACACTCTGGACATGCAGCATTTAGCATTTTGCCTGAAATGCATTATAAGTTGTATTCTAAACAGAGAGTTAATTGTGCAAACATGCTGTATGCAGAGTACCAACGCTAGAAAACAAAATGGAAGTAGATTTTATAGCATTTTCATTTCTTCTTTTAAACTGCAAGTATATAAATAACATTATATTACAGTGTAATTACACAATGTGGTCAACCATTATCCACAATTTTGCTTTCACACACGTACTTGTATCTGAGCTTGCACTTGCTGAGTCCCTGCAGCCTTCTGAGCCTGAGTTAAGGAGGTGGTTAAGAACTGAGTTTTAATGGCTGGCTGGCTGGTGTAGGTGACCTTTTGTTGCTGAGAAGCAGTGGAAACTTGAGGTGTAGTTATCTGGAGGGAAAGGTAAGGCTGAGCATGAAAAGCCCAGGGAAAAAGAAGTAGACAGGAAGAGATGAACTTAGCTGCCAGTCAAACAAAGATATATACACTGAAGCATTCTGTATCTTTATAGCATAGTGGAAAAAATTAAAGCTGGGTCCATACACAATGACTACCGATGGAGATATAAATATATGCATAGGTTAAGGGTACAACGCTTATTAAATACGTGATGTTGCAATAACTATAACTAAACCAAGAACGTAATATGCAACCCAGGATTCAACAGTGAAGGAATTAAATGTACTACTAGATTCAATTAGAATATCATAATTATAATAACAAAACCACATAATGTGAGAGAAGCACAAATGCACACTGTGTATCTTACCTTCTGTTGCCCCAAAGTAGTCTGTGATTGAAGAGCTTTTTGCTGCTGTTGCTGCTGGGTGGTATGATGCTGTTTCAGTTTGAGCAGTGGTTGCATGTGCAACGGTTGTGCCATGACAGTCTGTCCACCTAAATAATCAAATGATATATCTACAGTCTGGTATACATACAATAAACAATATATAAAAAGAGAATATAGCCTAACTGCCCCTTCAGAAATTGTGAACAGAAACCAGCTAAATTATGAAAAGGTTAGTTCACACAGGCTGAAATGCAAATCAAATGTTTAAAAGGCTAACTCATTCCTAAAAAAAGATAGAAAAATAAATAAAAACAACAAAACATACATATCCACTTTTATGGAAACAAGTCAACAGTCGTGCTCTTCATCCAGATATGAAGTGAGTAGACTGTGTGAAGCTTTTCTGATCTGTTATTGTACTATACCTGCTACTTTCTGGGGTTGGTTGATTGAAACACTGATTCCTGCTACAGTAACAGGGAGTGTGGTGACTCCCCCCGAAGAGACACTGACTGCTGACATTACAGGTGGTTTTGCCAATGCAACTTGCGCAGTTTGTCCTGGCTGAGCTTGGATCTGTCCCTGGGCCTGCAACTTTGGACAGAAATTGACAGGTATTTTGTGATTTAAATGTGCAAATGAAGCTAATCTAACAATACATTCCTTCAGGCTTATGCTATGTGCTTACCAGACGTGCCACCTGCAGGTTTGTCATAGTTGTTCCAGTAAGGACAGTCCCAGCACGGGATGCTGTAACTGTGGCAAGTTGCTGGGCTTGCTGTGGCTGAACCTGCATTTGCGTTGTGGTGCCAGTCAGTGTGCCTGCCTGAGCCACCTGTTGGGAAAGCTGAAGTTTCTGCTTCTGCAACTTCATTAACTGCTCCTGTTGAAACAACAAAATAAGAAAGTATTATGGGAATGACGATTTTTCTACAATTCCCAACATTGTGTAGAAAAATACATCTACAGAGAGGTGGAAGTTTAGCATGGGAGAAAAAAAAGTATCTTGTATGAGCAGACACGCACTCCCATTGGCCTAACACTGTGAACAGCATCCTGTGATTCAGTATCTCCTCCCTCTGCATGCAGACACTGAACTTTCCTCATAGAGATTCATTGATTCAATTCATCTCTATGAGGAGATGCTGATTGGCCAGGGCTGTGTTTGAATCATGCTGGCTCTGCCCCTGATCTGCCTCTTTGTCAGTCTCAGCCAATCCTATGGGGAAGCACTGTGATTTTATCAGGCTACCACATGTCAGCAGACTGCTTGTTTTTCTGAGTCTAACAGCATGCAGAGTTACAGCTTCTGGCTTGAATACGGTAAGATTTTTACTATATTTATGGAGGCATGAGGGGCCCAGGGGGGCTAGATGGTGGTATTAACACTATATGGTCAGGAATACATGTTTGTGTTCCTGACCCTATAGTGATCCTTTAATAATGTTTAATAATAAAAAATAAAAAAAAAGTTTAAAAATCCAACCCCCCCCTTGACCCAGTCCTAATAAAAAAAATAGCCCCTTCCCTGCCAGTTGATCACTACCTACAGTGATCAAAATACAGATCACAGTATTATATTGTGATCTGATTTTTTTTTTAACCCCTGAGGGTTAACTTATTTCATTAATTAATTTAAATATTTAAAAAATTATATATTTTGCTAGCTGGGGTGGAGGGAAGTTATGGGAAATTTGGGAATTTACTGTTAGTGCTGCTTACTGCTAGTTAGGTGTTAACGGTAAAAAAAAAAAAGTTTATACAAATTTTAAATGTGTAAAGTTTTAAGAAAGTTTAAAAAATGTAATAAGTAAAAAAAAAAAAAAATATTAAAAATGAGTTTTCAAAAGTACAAAAAGTTTCAAAAAATACATAAAAAAATGCTCATTACCACTACACCTGGAACAAACTAGAGAAAAAATGATCCCACACCAAGTTTCAAATTATGCCTTTTGAATTACCGCAGGGTGTATTCTTTAATAAATAGTATGTGTTTGTGGGGAAGTATGAATAACCAAGCAGCTAAACTACTCCGACATGAAACATAGACACAGCGTACAAATTAAAAGTTTGAAAAAAAACTGGAATGGCTGTGTTTCAAATGTGCCCCTTCAATGTCCACATATAACTGGCAAAGGTACATACGGGGGTATTGCTGTACTCAGATGACATCGCTGAGTAACATATGAAGTATTATACAGTCGTAGCACACATAAAGGTTTGCAAAATATACCGTGCAACTCACTTTGTGTGTCAAAAAGGCAGTAAAAATGCTTATTACCACTACACTTGGTACAAGCCGGCAGAAAAATGATCCCACGCTAAGGTTCACAATATCCTTTTTGAAATACCCAGAGATGTCTTCTTTAAGAAATGGTATGCCTTTATGGTGTAGTTGGAATATGTAGATTGCTCAAGTGCTCCAAATTGGGACACGAATGCATCAAAACCCTCCATGAAAATTCACACTTAAAAACCTGAACTTGTCACGTCTCTTTTACAGCACTGTAACGTCACAAAATAGTGTCTAGGTCATACATTGGGCATATTGTTTTACTTAGAAGATGTAACTGAGCACAATCTGGGGGGTTTTATAACAGTGGTACATATCAAGTGTAAGAAATACTCAGCAAAAATGCAACATATATGTAAAAATGCATTTTTTTCCCCCTCACCACAAACACTGACATAAATTGGTGAAAAAATTGTGACAATTTGAGGCACAATATACACCATATAAGATACCCTGGGGTGTCTGCTTTATCAAATGAAAGTCCTTTGTGGGGTTATTTGAACAGTCACACTGCTATAATACCCTAAAATGAGACATAGGCCCGTCAAATCCATCTACAAAAATTCTAACTATAGAAATTGAAATAGCCTTGTCTCTTATATGGCATTGTAGCTTTACAGAATAGTGCCAAAGGCATACAATGGGAGTATTGTTGCACTCAGTAGATGTAACTGAAAACGATATGGGGTCCTTTGCAGGAATAGCACACATCAGCTTTACGAAATACACATTACAAAAACCTTGTTATATGTGTACATGCCAAAATAGAGAAAAAACACAATTTTACTCCAATATTTAGCAGAGATTGGCGATGAAATGACTATGTAAAAAGTGTACAACTAACCTTCGGTAAATAGCCTGTGATGTCTACTTTATATAAATATATACTTTTGTGTGGCAATTTTGTTTTCTGTGATGGCTACTAAACCTACAAGACAAACATACCAACTTCTAAAACTTTCACATTTAAATTTTATTTTAGTCCTTGTATTTTGTGACCTGTAACTTTCAAAATACCGGTAAGTTATACATACATTACTATTGCCAAAACTGTGAAAAAAAAATAAAAAAATTTTTGTTTTGTTTCCCATTTTTTGGCATTTTATTATAATTATTGAGAATTTATCTATGTATATGTGACATCAAATGAAAGCCCTGTTTGCCCTCTCAGAAAACGGTATATAATATTAATTGGGCAGACTAGATGGGCCGAACGGTTCTTATCTGCCGTCACATTCTATGTTTCTATGTAATATGTGTTGGTGCAATAAATTACAGAGATGCAAATTGCGTTTGAAAACAAACAGCAAAGAATTAAAAAAAAAGGCTTGTGTCCTTAAGGGTAACACTAGCTTTTGAAGCTGTGTCCTTAAGGGGTTAATTCACATAGGCACTTATGTTTATAAGTCTGCAGAAGCAAAAAGAAAAGGCAGCATCTTTTATACAATATGCACAAAATACCAATGGCACTTTAGCATGCAGAAATCCTTTGTGTGTGAAAAATATGTCCTCCGTTTCTTATTTTAGAAAAAGTGCAGATTTCAATAAAACTGTCACTTGTTAGATTAACATTTGTACACCCACTAGCTGTCAATTAGACAACTAGTACTGTTACTTCTGGTTTGTTTAGCTCAGTGAATATAACCACAATAGGCAGGCAATTGCAAATCCTGCCTTGCAAATATTTCTCAATTAACTGTATTAGGGCATCTGTGATTGGACAGCCATAGAAGAATGGGAGGGCTTGCAAATATTGCAGAAAGAGATTGTTTGTGCAAGGCGTTTTTTTAAATAAAGCTTAATGACAAAATGCATATTTTTCTTATTAAAAGGTATTTGTGTTCGTATTGTTTAATCATATGTTTACAGCTAGAAGCACTAAGTATATAATAACAGTTCTGCCTTCAAGCTTACCAACTAAATAAGAAAAGTGATGGTAATGATACAACACAATACTTACTGACTTTGATAATGTGTTGCTATTATAAACGGAAAACAAAAAATGCATAAACCTAGTGGTTCAATAATCCGTGCATTGTTACTCACTGGAGATATCTTTGCAACAGTCTTTATCTGTCCTGGAGATTGTGCTTGAGCCTGGATCTGTGGAACTGTGACCTGCCCTTGTCGTAAAAGCTGAAACTGACCTGGTGTTATTTTACCGGCCAGCTGAACCCCAGCAGTGGTCGCTAGAGTAAAGAGTACAGAAAGAGAAGGGAGAAAAGGGAATATGAATATATAGGGGAGTGGGTTGGGAGTTAATGTTAATAAAATTAGAAGCTATGTTATTGACCAAACAATTACATTAAAGTGTATTCTATTTAAAATTCCGCAAAGTCAAAATTCAAGCTATCTTACCTGTAGTCACCTGTGTTACTATGGCTCTGGCTTGGGTCTGCACAGTAGTGAGATTGGTAGAAACCACTGTACCTCCAGTTACAGGAGTCACTGCTCGAACCCCTTGACTAGTAGCTATAGTGACCATCTCTGTAGGCACAGTGGGTGTTGTGGCCACTGTCCTCTGCTGCCCCATTTGAGCAGTAGTCACAGCCTGGCAAGGAAATGATAGCTTCATAAGCAAAAAACAAAAAAAAAAACAACATAAATATACAACCGCCCCTATAACTAGGGGAACAAAATATATTATAAATATTGAAGAAGAATAACGTTATGGCATGGTGTAACTCTCAGTCCAGTTTCATGACTTTTCCCACCTTTACAATAACATCTGGACACAATATCTGACTCAACTCACTTTACCTTGATTAGAGAAGTAAACAGCTGGTGGGATTCTTGTTCTGCTGCCCCCCACCACCCTTTCTGGAGATCTTGTTTCTTTTTTTAATGGGTACAGTATTTTCAAATATATGTACTGAAGATACTGTGTTTTAACTATTTGTAGTTCTTAGACAGATTAGTTTGTATTTTCTATTTAAATTTTTTTATATATATTTATATATATATATCTAGATATATATCTAGATATATATCAAGATATATATATATATATATATATATATATATATATATATATATATATATATATATATATATATATAGAGAGAGAGAGAGAGAGAGAGAGAGAGATATATACATGAGAGAGAGAGAGAGATATATATATATATATATATATATATACACACACACACATACACACGTTTTATAACTTAAACCAGAAATTTAAAAGATCATGAGAACCCAAAAAATACCCTAATGAGTTGATGAGTCATTTTAACCAATTCCTACAACTCTGGCCTTAATTTGAGATTTTAAAATGATTTAAAGGAACACTATATTCCTGTATTTCTTAAACTATTTTTTATTTTGCTAAACAAATTATATAAATACGCATACATTTTGATAATACAAGTTTAAAAGTTTATCCAAAAATATGAAATCATTAAAAATAGCTGAACAAAAAATATAAAATCGAAGCATAATATAGGACTGGCAATTGGTTAGGTTCTGCACTACTTACTGAAACTGTACCGCTCACCACTGGAGTCACAACACGCTTGTTAATAGGCTGAAATGTGCCAGGCGATACACCCGATACTGTGTTCACAATCACATTTCCACTGACTGTTCCTGGCAAGGAAAACAAAATTATATTCTGTGCAGCTAAGCAGAACACGTCACACATGTAATGATCAGATTACAGGATTTAAATTCACATTTAATTTGCAATAAAAGAATAGATCGCATTTGGTTTCCAATTTTTAATTTCTGTTTTGGCAGATAAAAAAACAATACCAGATATTATAAATAAAAAATAAAAACCTGCCTAGTTCCTCTGGTCAAACCATCCAGGCTAATAGAATATATTTCAAATGTTTTCATTATCTAAAACATCAGTATCAGTGCTTATTATCATGTCGTACAACCCAGAAATCAACTACGCTCTGATGGACTGAAAAGAACTAAACACTTTTCTTGTTTAATGAAGACAAAAGCATTAAAATTAAATTTATGTATTTCTGGACAACTAACAATTTTTTTATCAATTGAATATTTATAGCTGTACATGGAGATGCAAAAAGGCTTTTGCTGTGCATTGCTACACGAAGACTAAAATTAAAAAAATGTTTTGATAATGCATACAGCTCAAAATTGTCTCTGGTATCTCAGCGAAGTGGGATGTAGGAAAAAAGCATTATAGAAAGCTGGTCCCTAAATCAGGTCAGCCAATTCCAAACAGTTAGAAAGTCCACTTGTTGTTAACCACAAATTTTACTGTCTCTCCATTGCATAAGCAAAGCACATGTATTACGCATATAATTTAATAAAAAAGTGCCTTGAACAAAAAAACGAATTCTATTTTTTGCCATGTCCATAACATATCTTACCAGTAGCTATAGTGGTTCCTGGTACAGCAGCCTTTATCGTGCCTGTCTGTTAATCAAAGAGTAATCACATCAGTGACGTGGAGAAATTTAAAGCACACCAAAATAAGACATTGTAGACAACTATTTAAACAAAAAAAAATATTCAAACAAGAAATAATATTGAAACACACAATTTTAGGAGGAAAACATTTAATCAATTAAACAGCATAGAGATATACAGACTTCTGAATATTGTAAATGAGTCCTCAGCAGTTACATTGTGGCACTGCAATTGTTGAGGACTATATCTTCACTGATACAAGCAGCAATTTGATTTCCAGATCAACACTAGGAAAATATGCAAATGGTTAAGCAATCGATGAACTAGAACAGGATTTTAAAATATCTGTCCTTGTAACTGTAGGCCTGCATCACCAGCACTTACATCATACAAAATGCTGAGCAAGTATGACATAAAGTAAGTTTAAAATGAATGTTTTCCAAGATATGTCATAGTTTTGAGACATGAGAAAACTGCTAATTTAGTCTCAACATGTTTCACCAACTCAGTCAGTGACAACACTGATTCAGCAATGATGTGCAAGTGAAAAGGCTTTAGACCACATTGAAGACAGATATGCTTCCAATGCAAGAGCCAACTTATCCACACACGTTAACATCAAAGGTGCTACAAGACTTACCAGGAGTGTTGGATTGGACAGAGTAGTGACAGGGCTTGGTCCTTTGGCTGCTGCTTGTGGCTGAACCACTAGTTGCGGCTGAGTAGCTACTGGAGTCGGGGTCTGAGCTTGTGCTGGCTGCACGGTTGTGGGCTGTGCTGGTTGTTGCCCATTTTGTTGCAGTTGCTGGGGTAAGGGACCAGACTGCTGTTGAGCTCGAACCTGATCAACCAAAGCCTTTAAGGAAAATAAAATAAAGCAGCTTTCAAGTGATGATCTGGACTAAAAGCATATTTTTAAGGGAGACAGAACAAATAGATCACCTTCTTTTCCTTGGCAATGCGGTCAGCACGCAGAGTGGCAATTTGGACAGGGGGCATGGGTTTGTCATAACTAATTCCGCTGAAAATGAAACCAAGAAATAAGATTTAAAAAGGGGGGGAAACTGAATATCATACTGAGAAATCTTAGATGGTGCCTCCTTAAATTACAATCAAAACAATTTTCTGTTACCTCTCTGCTAGAACCGATGCATGCTTTGGGTTCTTCTGGAATGGATTCATGCCAAGCCTAAAATTCACAAGCAGGGATAAAAGTAGAGGATTTCTAGTTAAACTGCTTCATTAGTTTCACAACAGGTTATGTATATAAAACAGAAATCTCCTGATATAAATGGAATGCAGGAATGCCTGGCTAAAAGGTACAAGGAATAAAGAAGCCGTTATGAAACAAAATAGTTCAATTGCAACTCCCAGAAACATGTGCTATGCACATTACATAGTATGTATATTACATACATAAATACTGTAAACTGACAAGAATGAAGCATTCTAGAATGGGGAGGCAGAGAAGATAGGGTTAAAATGCATAATTCTGCACACAAAAAATATAATTAAAGTGAAAAAAAGAATATATATAAAAAGATCACTCACAACGGTTTTATCGGGGGACTTCGTTTTCCAGCAGCCATTTTCATCAGATCAAAACGGGTAGTGAATAACTGGCTGTGAGTCATTCCTTCATCCTGAGCATAAATCTGACTGGTTCGAAGAGGCTTATTCTTTAAATGGGAGGGAAAAAAATTGCATATTATATAGTGACCTGGAACATCCTGAGTGATTAATAGGCACATAATTCCATTAAATCTAATGTAGATCTACAAATCTGCACTATAGTAAAGCATTCCAGGACAACATGCAATGGATTTCATGTCAGAAAAACACTTGCACACAGAACGATGCAAGCAAGAGACAGATAAGATATGGCAATATTAATTGCTAAATATCTTTTAACTACACAATGGGTAGCAGTTTTATACATAGAAATGATTAGAATGTTAAAATGAGACTTTCATATTGTGCATGATAGAGACTATTATTATATGGAGATGGAACACTTAAGAGAATCTGGTGATACATAGAATACGTAGTGCTACAGTAGTTAAAAAGTGAATAATGTATATTGTTTTTAAATTATGAACATTGAACTAAATATATGTGTGTGTGTGTATATATATATATATATATATATATATATATATATATATATATATATAAAGTGAAGTAGTGATCAGCACTCTCTGGCTTTTGTGAATTAAAACTTACAGTTTATTGAAATTCCATTTAAAAGATCAACGTTTCAGTTCCTGTCTGGAACTTTCATCAGGATCAAACATATGAAACAAGGAAGAACAAGCACCGGCCTACAACAGTCTACAAGCGTGAGTGCAAGGAAACCCTGTATTTTATATATATATATATATATATATATATATATATATATATATATATATTTTATTTTTACATGCTGTAATGCCTTTACACACCTTAAAAATGTTTTCTGATTTCTTCTTTGGACTGACATCTGATAGCAGCTGTAAGAATAACAATAGTAAAGGTTAGAAAATGAACATTTCTTTGTTACAGTGGACTCTGTTCTAGAAGGCATGCTATGTTGTCCTTAAAGGGAAACTATAGAAAACCAGACCATTTCATCTCATTGAAGTGGTCTGGGTGCAGTGTCCCCGTCAGAGAAATTGCAATGTTTACATTGTAGTGTTAAGACTGCCTCAAGTGGCTGTCTACCACGCATGCACACTAGGTTCACCCTAGCGCTGACATTAGAGGAGGCGGAGACAGAGCCAGTGCCAAGGGAATGTGAGTGAAAGTGTTATTTAACCCTTTCAGTGCTGTGCGGTGGAGGCCTGGAGGAATTGGGGGAATGCATAGGAACACTTCAGTTTTCCGAATGCAGTTTTGTGTATTTCTAACACCATAGTGATCCTTTAAAATGGTAATCCACAATCGAACATCATTTGTGTCTGTACTCTGCTTATTTTTGTTCTATCTCCACTGCCATCATAGGTTCAAAGCACAGTATTGCATCATGAGACTGGCATGATACTCTTTAGGCACCAAAGGCATTCCTTGCCGCCCTTCTTGTCAGAGGCCTACCATAAGTCCAAAGCTTTGGCCACAAGCTTTTATCAAAACTATATAAACAGAACCTAAAATTTAAAATCCTATGCTACTAGCCAGACCTTAAATGTTACTTGCCACTGCAAGCCTCTAGAGTCCATCAGGAGTGAATTTCTACTCGCCAATGGTTAGTGGTGAATAGAAATTGAGAACCCTAACACAAAAACAACGTAGGTATTTTTGTGTGTATATACATATATACACACATAAATAATATATTCATATTTGGATATTCTGAAAAACTGATTCAGGTGTATAGTTGCTGCCAACTGGTGGTCTGGAGTACTGAGTCTAGGCTCATAGCGTACTTCTAGTGTGAGAGTTGGAAGTGTCTTAGTTGCAGCACATAATAGTTGGGTGCTTTGAGGAGTAATCTCATAGCGAAAATGTATATTCCTGGCTTGTACTGACACACTTGGCATCCGGACTTTATTTAAAATAATTCAGGACATATATCAGATATTGGGTATTTATATGGCAGATAAATTTCACTTTAGACATGATTTGTTACATTACTTGTTTTGGAATTTGTTACAAACAATAAAATAGTATCTTTAACTGATCAGAAAATAATAGCACAGAGATATGAGAACCATATCAAGAATTTAAAAAAATATTTTCTATCAACAAATGGATATAAATCCATGAGCTTGCAATCTACAGGACATAAAGTTTGTTGACTGAAAAAGTGCAACAGAAGAAAACCATAATCATAATAAACACTAGTGAGATTATCAAGTGGATAATGAATTAAATGTGACCTCGGTAATGTGAGACGGCACAAATCAGAGCAACATTACCTTTCCTTCCTCTCTTGGAATGATTACATTTTCATAACGGCTCCTGCACTGCTTGGACGATCGGTAGATTCTGCTGCAAGAGTTCACCACATCACTGACCAGATCCCAGTTAGGGGTGTGAGCCGGGGACACAACTGTAAGGTTCAGTGGCAGCTCCAGAAGTTGCTTCACCGCCTGTGGAAGACCCTCATTAAGTTATATTTCAACTCATCAGGAAAAAAATAAAACTGAATAATAAGGGCACTTATTTTAAACATTGTTGCCATAAAATGAAAACCAGCACAAAACTTTCCCTTGTTTAGGTTGTTATTCTTTGAGGTGGTGGTACTTTCCCCCCCCCCCCCAAATACTCAGATAAACATTTTTACCTGCAACAGAGCCCAGTCTTCACTTATAAGCCATTCAGGATTATCTGGACCAGTCTCCATAACTGGCTTAATCAAAGTCGGCAAAGGTTTAGCAAACTGAGTTTGCTGTTTTAGAAGGATGTTCTTTTTCTGCTCCTTGCCTTCTTTACGAACTTTAAGTGGGTTGGGAGCAGCTCTGTCAAATAGGGAGCGAGGAGGTACCACAGACTCCCCATGCCTCATTATCTTTTTCCGACCTCCAGCTAAAATATAAAACAGAGGTGAATTGTGGATTAGTGCCTAAGCTTAAAAATGCTAATGATGGTAAACATTAAACCAGTTTAAGATTGATAAATGCCTTTTGTTTTACACCTTTTACAATATTCAGCATCAACAAGTCTATACGCTAACAGAACACTGCTGAACCCTCCGCGATTACTGAAAAGACAACCTCTTATTCACTTTCTCTGTTACTGCTGAATTCTAACAATCTGTGAATTCAAAACAAAGTTCTTTTTCACTTTAGATAATGGATTGGCTACTCAAATAGGAACACATTTTCTCCAATTACAACTAAGATGTGCAAGTGTTTATATTACCTGCTGGGTCTGTCCGGTGTCTCTTCCGCTCCTTTCTCACATATACTGGGGGTAGCTTAGACTCAGGAATGGGAGTGGTGTCATACATCAAACACATTACAGAGTCAATATAAATGTCATTCTCATCTTGTGGTGGGGTAGGAGGTGTCCAAACCTGGCAAAGACAAATAAACAAAAAAAAAAAGCTCAACGCATTCAAAAAAAAAACAAAAAACAATCAAGCCTCAACTGATGATTTAAACATAAAAGGTCTTACCGGCATTATTTCAGTCTGCCCCTCTGGTTCATCGTAAATGAAATCCTGAATTGTAAACATTTAACACATTAGTTGCTTTAACAAAACTCGGCTCTCCCCCCACCACCTTTACAGCTCAGATCGCTTTATTCACAGTCTCCACATTGTCATTAAGTCATTACTTTGTTACCTTCACTTCACATGGCACAACATGTGAAGTGAAGCTACTGAATTTAATCATTGCATTGCACTTACATATAGATATTGTATCAACTTTTACCACAAGCTGCAACATTATATTCAGTCTCAGTACTGAGCTTTGGATGAATATAAATGGCAGTCATTTGCCTGATTTTCACCAAATTACTTTTCAGAATTTAGAGAAATATTACTTAGCTGAATTATTCCACTAATTCCAGCATTGTCCCTCAGTTACTATTGTCAGCATTCTTACCATGTTATAAGCATCTTCCCGAGTGTAGGTTAGCAACTCATCACTTTCCTCAGATTCCCATTGCATGATCTCTTCTCTCCCCTTAAGTCCTCTTAGGTGTTGTAAATCCCACTCCTGCTTTGCGGCTTTCAATTGCTCCTACAAAAAGAAAAAACAATTCCATCACACTCAATTTCCCCAGATTAAAGATTTTAAAAATATCTTAATTTAACACCAGAAAACACTAAATTGCCCTTTGCAGAACAAACAGAGAATGGAACCATCATGGAAATTCAAACATATATTTCTCATATATCCATTAAAATGGTTGTAAACCTTCATTTTATCTAGAAAAGTGAAATAAAATACTGTTCTTGTTTTCAAGATCAAGCTGTGTGCAGCCCATGTCAGCATTTTTTTAATTGTATCTTCCTGATGTCACTACTATATTATTGATAATAGCAACATTTATAGAGTTCAATATTGCCAGTTACTGTATTGACCCAAATCATTTAAGAAAGAAGTATGGTATTGTGGTTACACACTTCAGTACATTTGGTAGTTGCATTATTGACAGGCATCTTTCTTTCAACTTGGCAGGTATCTTTTGTAAAAATAACATGAAACTGGCACTGAACAAACTTTTTTTTTTCTCCCTATAAGTCACAAAGACCCCATAAATAAAATCACAAATTTTAAGTAAGACACATTTTTCCTTTAAAAATAAATAAATAAATAATAAATTCCAAAGACAAACAAATCCCTTGAAATCCCCAAATACCTCAATACATCCAAGGTGAAGACTGCCGCTGCAGATATGAGACAGCTCCAGATAATGTAATGCATACTTTTCAATAGGAGTAAGCTGTATAAAGACCAACACACATTGCTAGGTTATGAAAAAAATACAAAGCTAGCATACACAAGTAATATCTAGAAACTCAAGGGAAAACTGTAAGAATTGAATAAGCAAGAAACAGTCACAAGTATGAATGAGAAACTCAATTAGTAAATATAGTTTGTAAACAAGATACTTTTGTATCTCCGAAAGGTGATCTAAGCTACAATTTGTCAAAAACGAACGCATGTCTGTGAATTTTCTAAATATCTACCACTAAATATTATGAACAGGAGGCATACTACCTGCTGCATGAGGTCGGCCAACTCTTGCATCTGAGAAAGTTGGTGGTCATCGTTTTGTTCACAGTTATCAGATGGGCATATGCCGGCATTGGGTTTTGGCCCATCTTCCTGCATATCTTCCGCAACTTCATCAGCTCCACACTCTATTCTTCCCAGTGCCTGTAAAGCCAGTGACATAATATAAAGCTTGCATATATGAAAAGGTTCGTTTGCAGCAATGGAGTAAGAATACATATCAGTTACTATGTGAACCGAGTGAACCTCTGTTCTCAGAGCAAGCCTCCAGAAGTAGCACAGCTTTTTATGAGGAGCCCTGGTTTGGACTATTATCAGGTCATGCAGTTGCAGGGACTGGACCCTGGCACTGTAAAAAAGTAATATAATTTACCCCCACAATTTTTATTTTGATTCAGGCAGGGGGCCCCAAAGCTAAATAAAGTAAAAAATACTACAGTGTCAAGAATACCGTATTTTCTTTTTAATACTATAGTATTTTGTGCTTTAAAAGCGGCACGGTCATGGCCGAATCACGTTTCTTTTTAACCCCCCTCCCGACACCACTACATCTAACTGACCCCCTAATCACCTCCAAATGCCCCTAAGCCCCCCAATATCACCTAATTTTATCTTTATTTTGTGCCCGGATCTATGTTCTGGGCGCCCCACCTTTGTGTGGGGAGATGAAGTCCTTGTGGGACACGTCATCTGACCACACTAGATAGCGCTGTGAGATTCCCACACATGCCCAGTTAAACACTTCATCGTTTTTTTTTTATAAGATTTTTTACAAGTTCGATGGGTATTATGGTTTTTATTTGGCCTTTTTTGGGGCATCAAATGGTAAGTTTTTATTTATTTTTTTACAGGTAGTTAGTTATTTTATTCCCACCTCACTATTTTATTATTTGTGTGTGTGGGGTGGGGGGGGGGAGGTGACTAGGGGCGACATTTTAATCTAGGGCACCCATCTGCCACTCAGGGGTGGGGGAGGACAATAGGTCTCCATTCATGGCCCCACCGACCCTAGGGGTGGGGGTCAGGACAATAGGTGTCCCCCCTTATTGTTAGTTAGGGCCCCCACCCGCCGCAGGGGTGAGGGGCAGGGGAGAAGGACAATATGTCCCTCCCACCACACATTCTCATATAGGGCCCCCATCCGCTGCTCAGGTGTGGGGGCTGGGAGGAGGAAAGTAGGTCCCACCCCCTTATTGTTATTTATGGCCCCCACCTGCCACGCAGGGGTGGGGGCTGGCGGGGGGAGGACAATCGGTCCCCCCCACCACACATTCTCATATAGGACCCCCACCCACCACTCAGGGGTGGGGAGGACAATTCCCCCCCCCCCCATTGTTATTTAGGGCCCCCACCCGCCGCGCAGGGATGGGGGTTACTAGTTGTTTTTTTTTGTTTTTTTAACAGTGAGCAGCCACTGGACATGCCCCTACTCACGATATAGCGAGTAGGGGCAGCATTTACTAATACTAAGTAATCTGTGGCTGAAAGACCAATTTAGGTCTTTCAGCCTTTTGGTAGATAGCTCCCTAATACCAAATACGAGTTATTTACTAAGCGACTGCAAGATGCTGCCACGGCACAAATAGGATCGGAGTTTCATTCATTAGAATAAAATTCCGATCCGAACAAAGTCTCGAATTGCGTCCTAACACGAATAGAGAAACTGTTCTCATTCTGTTAGGACGCAATTCGGCAGTTTTGACAGGACGTTCGGCAATACTGACAGGAAGCATCGCGGGAACAGGGAGGAAAGCTTAGAATTATGGGAAAATTGCTCTGACCACCGGAAATGAAGCACACTTTGCTCCTCCGCTGGTCAGAGATGGTCAGGCGTAGGAAACCTCCATAAGACAAGTAGTCCCTGCTTTGTCTTATGTTTTAAAGAAAACTACAGCAGACAGGAAGAAATGAAGAACAGATCCTGAGAGAGGGAGATAAGAGGAATTGATTAAAGAAAGGTAAATTCGGCATGACAGTGCCGCTTTAAGTACTGAAATTTAAAGAATCACATTAAAGAAACGATCCAAACACCTGTAGCACTTTAGCTTAATGAAATGCTTAGCTTGATGAAATGTGTGAAGAGTGTGTCCTCTTATTTTACAAAAAGCGCAGATTTCAATATATAGTCACATTTACAAATTAACCTTGTTACTCTCCCTTGGCTGTCAATCAGACAACCTGTCATGTTACTTCCTGGTTTGGTTTGCTCAGTGGAGCTAAAATATAGAGGCAGACAATTGGCAAGAGCACCTGCCTTGCAAAGACTCATTGAGCTGCATTGGGAAGTCCGTGATTGGACAGCCACAGAAAGTCTGGACTGGGGAAGAAGGGGCTTGCAATGGCTGCAGACAAGAGATCTGTAGCTTTGCAAGCTGTTTTTAGATAGACACCAATAAAAAAAAAAAAGCATTATTAAAATGCATGCATGGTTTCATTGGGGGTATGACTAAATAAATTGTGTTTATTTTATTTTTATTGTTTTTTTAATTTGGGCAGTCGAGTGTCCCTTTAAAGGGAAGACTATACAGACCTTGAATGGTTTCTTTAAAAAAAAAAACTCTAAGCACCATGTATTCTAAATAAGTAGTACCCTATATAGTTAAGTAAAGTATTTGGTCTAGAAAATTTTAGAATGGTTGGAAAAAGAAAATATATGACCAACATAAATGTTACAAAGGAAAGCAAGTTCCCAAAGTCAAATTAGGGTCAATAACTTTCTTCATCCTCTGTTATCACCAGAGAAATGTCAAAGTACAATGCCCTGAAGTGAGGATGAGGCATCAGAGGCAAAATATGAATAGAATAGATAGTAACATTATTACCATCAAGACATAATCCATCGAATGTATGTTCCCCAACTATATCTGAATGTTAAATAGTGTATAACAATTGTAACAAGGTTGTCTATATTTAGTGTTCTTAATGTTAAGATTCCTTTCCACTGCTATAAGTAAAATCTCCTTTTTAAGTATGCAGAAACTAGCTCTAACACATTTCCAGCAATAATATAAAACTGCATTTCCCCAAAGTGCTTAACAGTTTGTGTACTAATGTGTAAATATCTAAAAATATATTTTATTAAGAGAAATTAGGACTTTACATGACAATTCCCCCCAAAAAACCTCATGAGCACACTAGATAAATATTCTAGAAGAATTTCTGCACCTCTACAAATGGTCTTGCAATCTTGGCCGTAATAGTGTCCGATGGGGATGGTTCTTGAGAGAGTAGAACAAATTCTTCAGCTTTAACCCGGAATCCAGAATCTTCCAAAGGAGAATGGACTTCAAAGAGCTCTTTGATAGTTTGCTGCACAGAAGAAGAGGAACATCAGTCTTCAACTGAACTCAAAACAACTTGACTTCTCTCACCTGAGTGTTAACCAATGACACGCAAACTGCAAAGCTATCAGATGGTATTTATAAAAAGTTATAATAATTCCACATTTAATAAGAAAAGGCAAATATGGGGCTAGTAGGTGGTACCTGAGTTAAGAAGGCCAAGGTATAGTCACTGCCCTGAGCAGCCACTTCCCTGATGAGATCTTTAGTCCCATTTCTCAAAAGTTTCTCCTCGATTGAGTTTGCCGTCACCAATCTGAAGAAAAGAAAATTAAAGATCCATTTTTACAGTTACCAAGCAGTGAAATGCTTAGCTAAACTGCACTCCAGTTGGTAGGAGAGTGTTTCCCCCTAGCTACTAGTGACTGCTTTAAAGAAATCGTATTCAGAACTCTATATGTTCTTCATTGTTCTAAAAAGTAATGAAGTCTAATTCTGCAAACCATGAATGAATGCTGTGCTCCTTTTTCTTGATTGCACTTTCTATGTATACTGTTCCAAAGATAATCAATGCACACAACAGTACTTCATATAAATGGTAGTTATTAATATTTCACACAATTTGTGTTTTTAACACATGGCTAATAAAAGACATTACCTGTAAACATGAATATCCTTTGATCTTCCAATGAGATCACACCAGGACTGCGTTTTTCCATCTACCACAGGGTTCAAGTCACTATCATAAAAAATGACAGTATCTGCCTCTATATGAGGCACTGACTGAGTATACACATGAGTGGATAGGACCATGCAGAATACACGAGGGTCTCTGTTAAAGCTCTTCAGCAATTCCTGAGGACAAGAAGATCAATAGGTAAAACATGGGTAAACCAGTTGACAACAGAAGAAAAAAAATGTTAGAAGTGGATGAAAAGAAAATTTCTGGCCAAGTTTCCGAATGAAAACAAATTTTCAGGGTTAGAGTAAAAGAAATGTTGTTGTTATCTTCAATTAAAGTCAGGGGATGTGTGGGCAAAAATACCTGGTGTGAGGATGAGGAATTACTACAGCATTACTCTAGAAATATAATGTACAACAAATAGAAGATGTATATTGTTCATATATTGTGGTGTTCATTCTTAAGGTCAGTAAACATCATAAAACACACTAGCTTTCCTAGCATGGTCTGAGCACTGCCATATACCTGGCTTTGATCAAAGTTGGCATTCTCATCAATTCTCAAGAAGGTTAGGGAATGCAAATCCAGGAACACTTCCAAAATGTCCAACATATGCAGCATCTGGGAGAAAAGGAGAACGCGTCGACCTTCGGACCTCAGCTTCCTGAGAAGGATGACCAGAGCTTCTAGCTTCCCTGTGTGTCATAAGAATTCAAACAAGTTGAGGATTAATAGCAGATGGTAAAACCAAACTAGCCTGATTCAGGGTACTGGGTTAAGATAGAGGAAATTCAGCGTGCTCTAACTTTAGTTATTATCTGAAAGAAGGCAAAATGCACTGAGCCAAAAACAAATCGGGTAAAAAAAAAAAAAAAAAAGTTATTTATTTTCATACCATTTCATTTTAAAATTTTCTAAAAAAAAAAAAAGTTTTCAAATAAACTTCTTCCCTTGTTTAATAAGTGCATTTCTCACAGTAATTGGCCCCACCACTACCCTTATAATGTATGCATTTTCAGGTGACTGAAGCCCTCTTGGTTTCATTTTTCACAAAAGCCACTTGTTAAAAGAGCGTCTCTATCTTACCTGAATCACACTGGATAAGCCGCAGGTCAGGTAACTGCACACAGTATGGGGATGTTTTCTCTCGTAGGTCCTTTAGGTATGGGGCAGCCTTCTCCCTCAGGCAGTGACTCAGGATCTTTATATTATGAGTGAAGGAAGGAGGAGGATGTGGCACTACAAGGGATGGAGGAGCTGCAATAACTGCTGGGACTACACACTGTGACCTGAAAATGACAGATGTAAACAGAATATTAAATGATAAAAACAGGCATTATAAGGTTTAATACATTAGAATGCTTTTGAGCAAGCAGATCTCCAATGTACACACACAGAGCTCACTTTAGAAGTGAGACAAGACTGAGAGGAGTATATGAGCTGGATAACAAAGTATAGGTAAGACCAGTCTCACCAATTAGTTTAGATGGCTAATAAGTCTGCATATTTAATATATGTGTAAAATGTATTTATATTCCTGGTTCAATAAATATGTTGTCTGCTCAACATTCCAAATGAAAACAAGTTTCCGAGGTAAGAATGAGAGCAAATGTTTTATCCTCAATTAATGCCAGGGGACGTACAGGCAACAATTCCCTGGGGTAAGGATAAGGAATCACAGATTACAATTCTAACAGAGGTAATCGTACCAGCGACACCACTTAGGCAACAATAAAACTGTAAATAAACAGCTAGTTTGTGCACAATAGCTTGCTAAACGTTTTAAGTAATGTTTATCCAAAACACCATGCCTTTACATAATCAACAGCAGCTCGCATTATGCTCAGCTAGCCAGCCACCACTATGCACCCTGACGTACAACAGTGCAAGCCCATGAATGATTCAACCTGCACTTACCAAACAGGAGTGTGCTTTTTGATATATATGCTTCATGGCAAAGTAACACCAGTATATTTAATACACTGTGTGTAACTACAAATACAAATCTTTGTTTAAACAGATCCTGTTGAAAAATAAATACATTAAAAAAATTAAAAGCGCAAGAGAGAGAGAGGGATACACTTAAGTTTCAAGAAATGTGCTAGACACAAGACACTAAACAGTATAAAAGCATGCGCTTCCCAATCTATAGGTATCAAAGTATTCTAAATTGCACTGTAACAAAAAAACTATATAGATCAATTTATATCATATTTACCTCTTAGCATGAGACTCCAGGACTGTTTTCTGCTGATCAGGGGACAGGATAAGATGCCTCAAGGGATCCAAGGAGTCTTCAGAACAGCGGGAGGAAATTAGGCAGTTTACATAGCCAGCCCAGCCCCAGTGACCATTGCCCATGGGAGGTTGAGAATTAGCAAAATTGAGTGAAAAACGTGACAACAAATCTGAGCCATACAGTGGAGCTCGTGCACAGCGCCGTTCATTACAAGAGAATAGGCTGTCCAGACGCTCCTTCACCATGCGTTGTTTATCTTCTGTTGACTCCTTCATTTAAATAAAATGGCCAAGTTTTACATAGAAATAACATACATGGACATAACATAAAACCATTTCAAGTTATAAATTCAGCAGTAACTGGATACTAAAATTGTGCAATTCACAAGAAGAATTTGACATCTAGAGAACTTTAGGGTTGGTTTGTTTTTTTTGTTTTTAAATACAGTGGAAACCTTGTTGCGAACCCACTATGCTTATTATCCCTCACCAACTGAACAGGACTAAAGGGGTTACACACGGCTGATTTCCATCAAGATACAATGGGTAAAATTAACTCAATGAAGGGGTCGCCCCATGAGCAGGATTGCTCTCTCTAACCCCTATCTTACAGCTCAGGGGAGCCAACAACAGCACGTGGCAGCTACAACTGCTCCACCACTAAAGATCAATAAGTCTCGATTGACTGACAATGGTGTTAATGTATATGAGTGTTAATTTCATAAGACCCGTCCTGGTTAGTAGGCAGTTTGAGAAACCCTGGTGTCTCTATTTAACAATTTGCGGCTTGTTTCTTGGAGAGCCAATGTGGAACGCGCCAATTCAAACTTCAGTATTTTATAGAATTTGATTATTTTGGCTGCCAATGTTTTATCAGGAAGAGAAAGATAAGATAAGATGACCCAGAACTAATTTGCACAATAAATAAACAGACAGATACAGATTTGTATTTTCAACTATTCTTGAGAGTTGGGTTACCACAGGTAATGCATTTTGGTTATCAGAAGTATGACTTTGTCATTACATTACATGGAACTTACCTGAAGTGGAGCTGTCACACTGGGAACAGGTTTTGTCACTTGATCAGAAGCTGCAGTAGGAATCTGTGTGTTCCTTCCTGCCATGGGAGCTGCATACACAAACATATAAGCAGTTAGAAGATTCAAAACAACCATTAACTAGAATGATACAAGAGAAGGAATATATATGCAAAAAAACAATACATAACGCGAGAAGCAGAAAGGGGGTCCACGCTTTAATGCCCACCTGTACAATAGCAATGCTAATACCCATCTATGTGCTGCCACTATACTACAGAAATACTTCAAGAATACTACTACAGAGTAACAAACCTGATGGCTGCACTGCACTGGGATTTGGAGCTACAACTTGCTGTTGTGTTCTTACAGCATTAGCAGCTGTACCCTGTGGCATGGCAGGAAGCACAACGGAACCTTGTGGGCGAAGGTACTGACCAGGAGCTGAAACAATCTGCAGTACATTACCTGGAACAAAAAACAAATTTATACCAATTTAACTACAGCAACAACTATACACGGTCAAACATGCACACATGCAACATCCATAATCTCAACACATCGAATGAAATCAGATAATGCATTGTGCCTGCATCTCCTTTCCAGCAACAATACATTGGTGAGCTGTATTCTACAAAAGAGATATATCCTGCCACTCATGCTGGGTAATGTTACCTTGTAGCTGCAGAGGTTGGCCAGCTGTGAGTTGGCGCAGTTGACTCTGGGAGAGAGTGAATTTGTTCCCTTGGAATTGCAAGGTGACAGGAGTTTCAGGTTGAGCTATACGGCCTTGTGCACCACCAGGAGCCGTTAGCTGAGCGATTTTTACCACCTCGCCACCTGCAAAATAGATGAAAAAGAAATATAAGACAAGAAGCCAATTAAAGGGCCACATTTACCACTTATTATTTACTCATGCCAGTGTTGAAACCAGCTGAGTATATTTAAATTATGGAAAGTTATCCTGTACACGGCTGTGAATTGCAGAGAGTGAGCCAATTCCCTTTCTCAATAAGAAACCAGCCTTCTAAAAATAATTTGTCATGAATTCTATGCTCAATAAAGCATGAAAAGAAAGGAATAAGCAGGTGGATTTGCATCAGATGCCACCAGTTTCTTAGCAGAGATCAATTTAAAAGAGAAGGCAAATTTTGCAAGCAGCAAGGATACTTTAAAGTTATTTAGTTGCAGTTTTGATCTAAAGATTAGCATGTGAGTGGGAACACTTACTTGGAAGCCGGGCTTGAGAGCTAAGCACCAATCTTTGTGACAGGACACTCTGTTGGACAGTATGTGAGGGAGTCTGGGAATGCAGCTGATTAACTTGTCTCATTGGAACAGCTGTGGTAGTCCCTGGGGTTTGAGGTCTGGAACCCCCCACTTGGACATGTGATGTGGCAGGCACTGTGGAAATGAAATACACTTATTAGGTTAAATATTTGTGGTGCAAGACACAAGAAAAATATATGGATGTGCCCTACAATAGTACAGTTTTAAATAACCAGAAATAATAATTAAACCTTTGGTCCCCTGAGGTACAGCAGGTGTGGTGATTTGTGTTCGTCGAACTTGCCCCTGTTGGGTAGCAGTAGCCGTAGTTGTAGTTGTTGAAGAACTTTGGAAATTGATTATTTTCCCTTCTGGTTTCTGACCATAGAGTACGGGCTCAAACAACCTGCAGGTTCATAAGAAAGAGAGGGGTGTGGAGAAGTGAAACAAAGGCCAGGATAATTATTGGGAGTCAGGATTAAAGATATGATTCAAAGCATTTGTCTATTAGTAAGTACCTGTTGCGTTTTATTTTGACCTTTGCGGGTCTAGGTGCAGGATTAGGCGAGCTGTAGATTTCCTGAATCAGCTTCCTGGAAACTCTCTGTCTAGGAATCACTTGAGCTTCATAGCGTGTCATTTTATTCTCAACCCCAAGAAAGTCAAATATGGAGAGGTCAACGTTCTGAACATAAAAGAATATATAAATAAATTGCAATTCTATACGCATTTTGCACAGGCATACCAATAAATATTCGTCACCCACCTTCCAAGGGTCATATTCCAGAGCCCTCAGGACTAGAGATGCCGTTTTATATTGCAGAGTGTCAGACACATAGGAAGAATGTTCAGGACGTGGATCCACCAGCTCTGGATGGTTACAAATCTTCTGCAACTGCATTAGGACATGAAGAACGCTAAGGAAATGGCCTCCTTTTAGTGCATCTTGAGCCCTGTTAAAAATACAAAAATAACATTTTCCTTAAAGTCCTGGAATCATAACACAAACAATGTGAAGTTAATTCAACTTAAAAGACTTCTGTGAAGCTAATTTGCAACATTAAACAAGGCTTTGTACTATTTTAGAGGCCTCCCACAACAGAGTCTCCCTCACCCAGGCTGCATCATGACATCTTCATACAGAGCCCTCTGACGGTTTGACAGCTGACACTTCAGCACATGCTCAGATTTCTTGTTTAGCTGCCTTTCCACATCTCTTTTTGACCGACGTAAAATAAATGGTTGTGTTGACTGAAATACAATAATATAGGGGTAAAAATCTAGTACAAGATACTTCAATTTGCATCACATTGCCATTATGCTGGAGTACAATACTCAACTATATGTGTATATTGTGTATATTTTAGGTATAGTGTGGGATAAAGTAATATTAGCACCCCAAATGTGTGCAAAGTGAAAAACAGTTTAATTACCCGGTGCAGTCTTATGGAAATGGTGTGCTTGTATTCTTGGTCCTGGTCACTGTTCTCTTTCACTGGGAAATCCAAATATGACCTTGACAAGCCCGGAATGAGGAAATGCACCATGGTCCATAGCTCCTTCCATGTGTGTGGCAAGGGTGTGTCCCTGAGAAGCAGTCGACGTTGGCTGTGAAGAAGCATAGCATTACCTGATTGACTCTTTATGTATTGTATTGCCTGGACATCTTACTGGTGTTTGGAAACTTTTTACCATAGATATATATCTGTCCTCAAAATTCCCACTTGCCCACTAGCCATTAGTGAGTAGAACTCAGCATAGTAAATGTGTGTCACGGAATCTCATTACCTACAAGGATCCTCTTTGTTATAATCAGCTTACTGTAACAGTTGCTGCACAGCTAATATCTGCAGCCAATTATGGTGCCAGGAGGGCCATGATTCCCCCCGCTGAAATTAGTCGGTGTAGGGCTTAGCTCACTGGCTGAGATCTATCATGAAAATCAACAGAAGTTCCTACTTAGGAGTTTCCGATTCTCTGGTGGAAAAAAATTAGAAATGGGGAGTGGTGCCAGTGAATCCCAGGTAAGACGTCAAACCAATCTAAAACTTTATGGAAGAACCTAGGAACTCCTGGCACCAAAAGCATGCAGGGCAGCACCATGCTTTCAGAATGAGAAATACCTACCTCACTTTCTTTCTCTTCTGCGAACCACCAAGCAGTCACTGTGACAGTGACTTGTGGTATTTGTTTCTCCCAGGCATGTACAGTGGTTGCATGACTACCCAGCACTGCACAAAGGTTAAACAAAGCAGTGTGTGCTGCTGCAGAGAATGTATGTGAGAAATGCAAACCTTGGTAAATTAAAGATGGCATCCCAGTGTTTCTCAGTCATGTTTTTGATCTGATGTACTTCATCCATGACAAGATACTTCCACCTCAACTTCATAAAGGCCTTGTGGCCCTTGAACAGTTGTTTGTAGGAGGTTATGCAGACATTGAAGCTGTTTGGCTCATCCCATTTCTACAAAATAATGCATGTTAAGAAAGTACATACATATATACACACACTGTTTATTTTCCCTTTCAGATCTTCCTTACTATTTTAAAAACAATGAAAATGTAGTTTGGCATTCTGCCCAAGATCATAAGACAGTGAGGGTGATTTATCAAAGTGTAATTGACACTTTTACATCAAATTTTTAAGTAATTTGGGCACAATTTATTAAATCTGTCAGATTTTTATTTTTCAGCTTTCAACCATGCAATGCAGTGGCAGAATTTTGTTAAGTTGCAGGTGGAACGTACTTTAAAGAAAATCAAAATATTTTATATCACTTTAAATGAAGAAGACATAGGTGGCACGGTTCCACTGCTGTCGTCAAGTGCCAAAATTGCAAAGAATTCACATTAGCCAGCCAGGAGGGCCGGCTCAAAATGGCCAAACCATGCAGCTTGAGGTGGAATTACACCATAGGCAGTAGAGGGGTTAAAATCTGGAAGTACAGTGTTTCATAGCGAAATGCTGCACGTACAGACCTGCAGGCAACATGTCCACTTCAAACCGCTCATGTGGTCATGATGCCTGGAATAACCCTTTAAGCAACCCTAATCCACAGTAAATTTTACAGCACTTACAAATAGTTCTAAACACGTTTCATGTGCACTCAATCCATTTGGAAGGAAATTTCAATACAAAATTGTTGCTGATTTTGACAAATATTTGCACTACAACTTAACAGTAGCAAAATTATTTCTCAACAAGCAAGATTGGTCACTATTTAAACCTATTAAAATAATATATCAAACGATTTTATCACATTAGTATGAAATTGTACCCAATAAGGGGCAAAAAAAAAACACCTATTTAAATTCTGAGCACAAAGATATATATACACACACACACACACATATTTCTATCTTTGTACTCAGCCTTCGTTTAGGATTTTGATGCAATATTTTGAATACATAAGATTAAAACTGAATAATGTAGAGTGGGTTTGTAATGCTGAATACTTATTCAGTATGGTTTTGTCATTACAGAGAGGGGCTAACAAGTTTCATTGCTTGCTTCCTATAGATAATCTGATGTGTTTAACTCTTTGGGTATATTTTGAACCATAATGTTAGTGTTCATACTACTGTGGTAAAATGGTTTGCGGATATATTATTTTAAGCTATTTAAACTTTTGCCTTTTTTAAATCTTGAGTTGCTTATTTTAGTGCTCCCGGGTAGTTGCTATGACTGACTGTGCCTGGAGGGAAATTGGCCTTCTCAGGGTCCAGCAGTTGCATTTGTGTATGTTTTGAATGACCCCCAGTTTCTAATTTTGTTTGTCACTTTAATGACACAATATCTTCATGGAAACATGAATTTTGTTCCTACCTGCCGCTTTCTCCTGAGTTCTCTTTGGCTTCCAAAATACAAGAGCAGTTTCAAAGCTGGGCACCAGCGCTTGAACTCCAATTCCCACTTTAGCACCTTGCAACTACGTACAACAATCAAGTGAGGACCCCACACACCTGTAGATAGGGAAAAAAATATCACATCACCACTTGCAATGAGATCTAGAACCATGAAAACAAATGAGACAACCCTTATTCTTTACCTTCATTACTGGCCAGGTGTGCAATGAGACCGACCACTTGGATATTCTTTCCAAGTCCCGACTCATCAGCCAGAATCCCATTGAGGTTTTTCTTGTATTGTTTTGCCAACCAGTCAACCGCAATTTGCTGATACTCTCGAAGACTGCCATGGAGCAAAGGTGGAGGACTTGATTTTACCTGGAACATGGACATACAATTAGATTTACTGGACCAATGAAAGACTTATAACACACTGCATAAATCATATTGTAATTTATACGGTTAATAAATACAACTGGTAAGCCAAATAACGTCATTCATGCAAGGTGCTTTGGGATGCCACCTTTCATAGGCAAAAAAAAAAAGCTACTTTTCCATTCTTGAGTGTGGGGTGTATATAGCAATGTGTGTCAGTGTGTATACTGTGTGTAATTTATTTTCTCCCCAAGTGTTTGCATAGTCTGTATAAAACAGTGAGTTATTGTATGTATATACTGTCTGAACGGGTGTGTGTGTGTGTGTGTGTGTAAGTCAGCGTGTCATTGTGTGTATACTCTAAGTTTGTGTATACTATGCATATGTCATTGTGTGTAAATAGCAAAATGTGTTCCTGCCATGTATAATAAAAGTGAATATTCTGTCTCCATTTTTCTCATGACACTCCCAGAGTCCAGTCAGTCACAGAAAAATTCTGCAGAGGCATGATCTATACACCCAACTTCTTAATTATGCTAAAGTTGTTTTGGTGCCTATAGTGTTTCTTTAAGGTAAAAATCAAAGCTGTGATAGCTGTTTAATGCATCTGTCAATGGGGAAGCATTTTTTCTTCTATCTGTGTGTGCTGGAGCTGAACATAAGAGTCTTGAATGGATATGATTACCACCTTTGTCACACATTTATACGTAGGAGATTTCATATATTTTTTTTTAATACACTGCAGTTTTATGAGGATGGTGAATACATTTTATCACAAGATTACTGTATCATTTATGCAATCATTTGGGCTCCTACCTATAATGGTCCAACTTCTATTTATCCATTAGAATTTGTGCTGTGACTAACTTAATTCAAAGGTTATAGTAATTTAATTTATATCAGTTATTATAAGTTTTATTGGGCAAATAAATCCATGAGATAGTGGTGTGTACCCGAAGCACTCCTAGATTATAATTTTTTTTTTATGCCTTAATGTCTCTTTTGCAATACCGGCACTGCCTCAAATACCAGCTGTGCAAGTAAAATACCAGCCAGTGGGCAACCCTAATGGTGCTAAGAGATGTACAAAAACAGAAATACAAAAATCACTGTATTTGCTTCTGGGGGACAGCACAATGATACCATACCATTCTGCATTTAGGATAAATTGCTAAGGATGTCTTGGATAAGGGCAGATAACAAAAAAATGATTTCTAGAGAAGCAGATATTTTATAAGATGTGTTTACAATTTTGCTACCACAATGCAGATATTAATGTATTACAAAAATAAGACTTTACTCATATTTCTTAAGATTGTCCCATTCACACAGAGACACTTGAAATCGATACAGTGTTGCTATATGCATGTCATCATATATAGCAGTGGGCACACGTGAAGCAATACTGTATTTGTAGGCGGTTTCTACAACAACAAAAACCTGCGTTATTAATACTATGTATACAGTAAGTATGTTTCTTAAAAATTATTAATAATGAGAGATCTGGAATTACTCGGACAGGCTCAACTTTAAAAAGATTCCTAGGCAACAGATAAGAGTACATGATATTAAACAGTAATGGACATCCTCTTGACTGCTTTTGGTGCAAAATTACTCACTGTGCAAGTGATGCGGGAGCTGCCCCTAGGCAGTAAAAGTTCTGCAGCAGCGGCCACCTCTGCAATATCACGGTTGTGTTTCCTCCCCCCTCCATGAATAGAGCTTCCACCTTCAGTGTTAAGTAGGGAGTCAATAAGAACCAGCTGTTTTTGAGATCCATCTGAATTTGTTTCGCTTCTTGAACCTGAACCTATACAAATAAAGAGGAGTGCCATAAAAAACACTAACAATAGACAAAGCAAAATCAATAATCTGCGTCCAACGCAAAGTATCTTTTTTTTAGATCTTTAACTCTGATCAAGTTTTTAAAAAGCACAATTCGATTAAATACTTTAGTATCTTTCTTGATTTTTAATGTTTATTTGTATGATTATTTTAAAAACTTTATTGTCCAACACTATGGGCATACCATTGTCTTCCCTATGAATGTTTCAGCAAATCATTATTGTTATATTTTTACACCCCCACCCTGAACATAGGTATTCTATGCAAGAATGACATTAAAGGGACATTAAACACCATAACCACTGCAGCTTACAGTAGTGGTTCAAGAGCAGTGGCAGGCAACGTTTCGGCACTCTGGAGGTTTGTGGACTACATTGCTCATAATGTTTGTACAGCCACAATACTGGCAAAGCATCAGTAGAATTTAGCCCATTACATCTGAACTGTAGCAGTGCCAGAGGTTGCCTACCACTGTTTTAGAGAACGAAGTCTTTGGTAAGAAGGAGAAATCCAAGGTTGGAAGGATATCAACATATAATGCAGAAGTTAAAGCAACTGTCTAGCCCCACCCCATGAATATTTTATAAAGATTACATTTTTATGAAATATTCACATTCACAGAGTCGGAATTTCACTGAAGTCGAATAATATACTAAGACGGGGTAGGCAACCTTTTAGCAGCACTGTGCCGATATAGGATTGTGATGTCCCGTAGCGTGCCGGTCCTATTTTTAAATTGAGGTCTGTATGCTGCCGTATTCTGCTTGTGTTATTTATATTGTAATTGCTTTGTATCTTTGTATTTGTGCGTATATGAGCTATTATATTGTATATGTTCAGGAGTAGTTTGTAGTATCGTGTACCTATGAATGTGGGCTGTGTATGGGGGCTGCTTGTGGAATTGTGTGTGTGGATGGATAAGTCACATTTGCTTAATGAAGCAGTTTTAGTGTATAGATCATGCTTCTCAGGTTCACTGCCATTTAGGAGTTAAATCACTTTGTTTCTGTTTATGCAGCCCTTGTCACACTTCCCCTGGCTCTGATTGACACAGCCAGCATGAAAAAAAAACTGGTTTCACTTTCAATCCGATGTAATTTACCTTGCAAGTCACATGCAGGGAGGTGTGACTAGGGTTCATAAACAAAGTGATCTAACTCCTAAATGGCAGAGAATTGAGCAGTGAGACTGCAGGGACATGATCTATACACTAAAACTGCTTCAGTAAGCTAAAGTTGTTTTGGTGACTATAGTGTCCCTCTAAGCAGGTCTCGACAGTAATGCGGGATCCCCCTTAGAGCTCAGTGTTGTACTCTAACATATGTGCACAAGCACAGCACTGACGTGGACTCCCAGCAGATGAAGCATCAGGAGTTGAAGAGTTGCAAGGGGTAGGTTCAGAATTGTATAACTCACCTTCCCCTGCACCCATTGGACAATTAGTAGAGCAGTCACCATTGGGCGTCTTTGCTTAATATGTAAACCATACATACACACACCATATATACATACAGGGAGTGCAGAATTATTAGGCAAGTTGTATTTTTGAGGATTAATTTTATTATTGAACAACAACCATGTTCTCAATGAACCCAAAAAACTCATTAATATCAAAGCTGAATATTTTTGGAAGTAGTTTTTAGTTTGTTTTTAGTTATAGCTATGTTAGGGGGATATCTGTGTGTGCAGGTGACTATTACTGTGCATAATTATTAGGCAACTTAACAAAAAACAAATATATACCCATTTCAATTATTTATTATTACCAGTGAAACCAATATAACATCTCAACATTCACAAATATACATTTCTGACATTCAAAAACAAAACAAAAACAAATCAGTGACCAATATAGCCACCTTTCTTTGCAAGGACACTCAAAAGCCTGCCATCCATGGATTCTGTCAGTGTTTTGATCTGTTCACCATCAACATTGCGTGCAGCAGCAACCACAGCCTCCCAGACACTGTTCAGAGAGGTGTACTGTTTTCCCTCCTTGTAAATCTCACATTTGATGATGGACCACAGGTTCTCAATGGGTTCAGATCAGGTGAACAAGGAGGCCATGTCATTAGATTTTCTTCTTTTATACCCTTTCTTGCCAGCCACGCTGTGGAGTACTTGGACGCGTGTGATGGAGCATTGTCCTGCATGAAAATCATGTTTTTCTTGAAGGATGCAGACTTCTTCCTGTACCACTGCTTGAAGAAGGTGTCTTCCAGGAACTGGCAGTAGGACTGGGAGTTGAGCTTGACTCCATCCTCAACCCGAAAAGGCCCCACAAGCTCATCTTTGATGATACCAGCCCAAACCAGTACTCCACCTCCACCTTGCTGGCGTCTGAGTCGGACTGGAGCTCTCTGCCCTTTACCAATCCAGCCACGGGCCCATCCATCTGGCCCATCAAGACTCACTCTCATTTCATCAGTCCATAAAACCTTAGAAAAATCAGTCTTGAGATATTTCTTGGCCCAGTCTTGACGTTTCAGCTTGTGTGTCTTGTTCAGTGGTGGTCGTCTTTCAGCCTTTCTTACCTTGGCCATGTCTCTGAGTATTGCACACCTTGTGCTTTTGCAGCTCTGAAATATGGCCAAACTGGTGGCAAGTGGCATACTTTTCTCAGTTCATGGGCAGTTATTTTGCGCCTTGGTTTTTCCACACGCTTCTTGCGACCCTGTTGACTATTTTGAATGAAACGCTTGATTGTTCGATGATCACGCTTCAGAAGCTTTGCAATTTTAAGAGTGCTGCATCCCTCTGCAAGATATCTCACTATTTTTGACTTTTCTGAGCCTGTCAAGTCCTTCTTTTGACCCATTTTGCCAAAGGAAAGGAAGTTGCCTAATAATTATGCACACCTGATATAGGGTGTTGATGTCATTAGACCACACCCCTTCTCATTACAGAGATGCACATCACCTAATATGCTTAATTGGTAGTAGGCTTTCGAGCCTATACAGCTTGGAGTAGGACAACATGCATAAAGAGGATGATGTGGTCAAAATACTCATTTGCCTAATAATTCTGCACTCCCTGTACATACATATATATACACACCTATATACAGGGCTTCAAAATTTCTAGCCCCATTGCATACACACTTGATGGCGCTTTCTGTTACGAACCAAAACCAGGTGATACAATAAGGAGAAACAGTCAAAATAATTCTCAATGACTTTTAATTCTTTGAGATCCTAGCCTATGTTTTGATCTGAAGGACTATTTCAAAATAACAAGATGTGTAAACTGTGATTCACACTCTGATGCACAAATAAGTTATAAGCAAACAAACATTTAAAAAAAAAAAATGATCATACCATGGACCTCAACTTTATGTGCTTCTGCTTTTATCTTTGTCTGTGAGCCTGTAGGATCCTAAAATAAACCACAAAACAGCTTTCAATGTAAACAAACAATGTATACAATGAGTATAGTGTGGTTGCCAGAAAATGAATGGAGAGAGAACACACACTCAAGCATTATATATACACTGTGAAATGTTAAAGGGATTCTTAAAACAGATATTTAATACATGTAAACACATAATCAAATTAATATCACAACCTACCAAGCTTTGACCAAGTTTATCCAATTTTTCTGCCTTTCCGGTGTTGCCGCCTAAAATTAAAAGGTAACAAACATTCACGACTGTATTAGCAAAGAAAAAAGAAGCCAGTGATAGGTCACTGTAATGATTCATCATTTAAAGAAGGGTTAAACACCCTAATTACAGATGAGGTGGCAGGACTGTCATGATATAATAGAATTTGCATAGCCACGTTATTATAAAGGGTTTAATTTTGCAGATCATTGTTGGATACATACACTGTATAGTGAAATATTGCACAGTATTAATGACACATGCACTGATGTAGAGTATTTGTGCCACAAAGGTATTATTATTATTACTACTACTACTACTGGTATTTATAAAGCGCCAACAGATTCCTCAGCGCTGTACAATTAGTGGAGAACGTACAATATACACAGACAAAATACAAGAGGCAGAGAGAGCCCTGCCTGTAAGCGGATATCTAGCCACTGAAACTCTTTTATACAAAGTACTTAGCTAGATGGCCCGTGAGCTTACAATCTAAAGGATACAATGGGGATTTGAGACAAGAGGTAGCATGGGAAGTCTGGAGGTGATGATAGATCTCCAAATGTTGAAGAACCAACTAATGATCCTTTGTCAGTCTTTAGAATCTGGAGATTTATCTTTAGGGCACTGCTGGCAGAGCACTGATGACAACGCTGGGATAAATAAAAAAAATAAAAAACTCTTTGCTCTACTGTGTTAGTGCAATAATATATTTTTTTCTGGATAATTGGAGCTATTTTAAGTTTTTTTTTGTTTTTTTTAAACATCAGACCAGTAAAGCTGAATGAAAATCTTTATAGTGATATATATATATATATTACCCATGGCATGAAGAACAGAGCAATTTGCACATAAATGTTTAAACTTTTGAAAATAATATTGTTACCTTTCTTTGATCCGTGTGTACAGAATATTCTCTTCCTCTTTTCCTGTTGCTGCACCTGTAGTTTAATTTCCACCACCTTCCAACCAAAAAAAAAAAAAATAGATACAACTTTAACAAAGTTGATGGTTGATGCAAAACACACCACCGCCATGGAACTAGAAATCAGGGGCTCGTCTGCTCTGCTTAGATCTGTAGTTCCATGTGAAAACATGGACAGGAGCTCCCACTGACAAGGTCATTCACAAGAGGTGACAGATGGGTAGAGATACACTCTTGTAAGGGATCTGGTCACCAAGGGGCCATGACAAGTACCATGCTTCAAGATAGAGATAATATATATATATATATATATACACACACACACACACATATACATATACACACACACACACACACACACACACACAATGGAATTCTATGCCTGAAGAGGTGGTTTTATCAGAGAGTCTTTAAAGATGTCTAAATAGCAATTGGATAAATACTTGCAAATATATAATACACAGAGAAATTATTTTTAATTAATGGGTAACAGTTTCTTGATCCAAGGAATAATCCCACTGCCATTCTGGAGTCATGAAGGAATATTTTCCTAATTTGCAAATTGCAAGTGCTTCAGACTTGTTTTTTTGCCTTCTTTTGGATCAACAGCAAAAACAAATGTGAGAAAGCTTGATGGACATGTCTCTTTTTAGCTATGTAACTATGAAGTATCCTGTTTTTATTCCTAATGCTTTATGGCAAAGAGTTCTTTCAGTATGTGCGATGAGGTGTTCGCTCGTACAGAGACCATGAGTAGATCCCTTGCAGGATTTCCCCTACATGGCACCAACATTTGCAAGAAGCACTCAATTCATTGCTACAGGTCCTCACAAGGACAGCATTTATTAAAGCTAATGCACAGTATTATACACTGAACAAAATTATAAACGCAACACTTGTTTTTGCCCCCATTTTTCATGAGCTGAACTCTTTTTCTATGTACACAAAAGGCCTATTTCTCTCAAATGTTGTTCACAAATCTGTCTAAATCTGTGTTAGTGAGCACCTGTCCTTTGCCAAGATAATCCATCCACCTCACAGGTGTGGCATATCAAGATGCTGATTAGACCGTATGATTATTGTACAGGTGTGCCTTAGGCTGGCCTCAACAAAAAGGCCACTCTAAAATGAGCAGTTTTATCACACATCACAATGCCACAGATGTTGCACCTTTTGAGGGAGCAGTGCAATTGGCATACTGACTGCAGGAATGTCCACCAGAGCTGTTGCCCGTGAATTGAATGTTCATTTCTCTACCATAAGCCGTCTCCAAAGGCGTTTCAGAGAATTTGGCAGTACATCCAACCGGTCTCACAACCGCAGACCACGTGTAACCACACCAGGCCAGGACCTCCACATCCAGCATCTTAACTTCCGAGATCGTCTGAGACCAGCCACCCGGACAGCTGCTGCAACAATCGGTTTGCATAACCAAAGAATTTCTGCACAAACTGTCAGAAAGTCTCAGAGAAGCTCATCTGCATGCTCGTCATCTTCATCGGGGACTCGACCTAACTGCAGTTCGTCATAACTCGACTTGAGTGGGCAAATGCTCACATTTGATGGCGTCTGGCACTTTGGAGAGGTGTTCTCTTCACGGATGAATCCCGGTTTTCACTGTACAGGGCAGATAGCATGTATGGCGTCGTGTGGATGAGCGGTGTGCTGATGTTAACGTTGTGGATCGAGTGACCCATGGTGGCGGTGGGATTATGGTATGGGCAGGCGTATGTTATGGACAACGAACACAGGTGCATTTTATTGATGGCATTTTGAATGCACAGAGATACCATGATGAGATCCTGAGGCCCATTTTTGTGCCATTCATCCACGACCATCACCTCATGTTGCAGCATGATAATGCACGGCCCCATGTTGCAAAGATCTGTACACAATTCCTGGAAACTGAAAACATCCCAGTTCTTGCATGGCCAGCATTCTCACCGGGCATGTCACCCATTGAGCATGTTTGGGATGCTCTGCATCGGTGTATACGACAGCATGTTCCAGGTCCTGTCAATATCCAGCAACTTCGCACAGCCATTGAAAAGGAGTGGACCAACATTCCACAGGCAACAATCAACAACCTGATCAACTCTATGCAAAGGAGATGTGTTGCACTGCCTGAGGCTGATGGTGGTCACACCAGATACTGACTGGTTTTCGGACCTTCCTCCCCCCCCCCCGCCCCGGATCCCCACAATACAGTAAAACTGCACATTTTAGAGTGGCCTTTTATTGTGGCCAGCCTAAGGCACACCTGTGCAATAATCATGCTGTCTAATCAGCATCTTGATATGCCACACCTGTGAAGTGGATGATTTATCTCGACAAAGGAGACCTGCTCACTAACACAGATTTAGACAGATTTGTGAACAATATTTGAGAGAAATAGGCCTTTTGTGTAAGAAAAAGTCTTAGATCTTTGAGTTCAGTTCATGAAACATGGGGGCAAAAACAAAAGTGTTGCGTTTATAATTTTGTTCTGAGTAAATACACATTATAGATTCCAAAGACCAGGCAGCTGAAATTTGAACTTTGTTGCAGATATTTCTTTACCTGTTCAATATTAGACCAGAAATATTGGATCTCCCGAGCTGCTAACCAAGCAATACGCTTCAGTCTTTCTTCATCTTCCTTCTTGGCTCTAGCATCGCTCTGCTGCTTCTCTTGCCAATATCGTGCTGCAGTGCGAACCAGCTTTAAAATAAAATTTTAAAAAATAATTTCCAAATTACAATAACATAGCTGATATTTAACACTACTTTAAACTGTCTGCTTATGTTTCATACCAGATTTTCTTATCCCTACACCCGCGAGTAGCTTGCAGGCCACCCCAGCTGTTGTTAAATAATCTTCTATGATACTTTGTCTTGACAATATGGATACAAAGTATTCACAGAGATAGTGTTTGAAATCATCCTGGGAGCGGTTATATTCAAACTGCTGAAGAATGAACTGTAATGTCAATCTTGCCCTAGACCAGCATAGCTCACAGGTTCCCATTCATTTGATCTCCCCCATAGTCATCTTGACAGGGGTGCAAGTGGAACCAATGGTGCCTGTGATACTTGAAGAGGAGAAGCATTTTGCCTTTCCCCTCCTTTCCAGCTTGCCCTACTAGCCAGCATAAGCGGTGATTTAAGCAGGCAGTGCTGGCCTGTGCTAAAAGAAAGTGACCTCCTATCGGTTTCAAAGAAGAGTCCACATGGAATGAGAGCTGCCTGCAGCAACAGTCACTCATCTGTTTGGTCAACACAGGATCCCAGGGAAGCCACCCGTCTGCTGTTAAATGGTAACCTAAAGGAGGGTGGCTAAAATAACTATGTGAATGTGTGTGTAGTAGAGACAGTTAGGTAAATATCATACCATTCCCCTAAATTGTTTGATAGATTACAGACAGTGCCTGGGCATTCTTGGCACCATACACACTACAGTATGCAGTAGTAGTTACAGTAAAGTGTTCCTTTAGTGCATGCAAACAATGTTGCATTTAAAAAAAAGGAGATTTTTATTATTAAAATTGGTAGTACTCATTTTTCACTTGGAAAAATGAGTACTACCACTTATTCATTTACAAAATATTTTAAAAACAGCATTATCTTGAGAAATTATTGCAACATTATTAACTTCATACCTTCCTCCATATGTCCAAGGTTAAACGCACACACTCCAAGGGCACTGCAGACTGTTAATAGTTTGTCTATTCAAATGGCTTTAATTTAGCCTATAATAGCACAGCCATAAAAAAAATGTATTTATGACTTTAAGCTACATAGCTCTGAGTGTGCTTCAGCCATTTCCAGAACAGACGGGTATGCGTTTCATTATCCAGTCCTCACATGCAGGGCAGGTCTAATATGAAATGTCAGCCTAGGCGCTTGTCTTATTGTCTTTGAGTACATTTAGACACCTCTCAAATGAGCAGTAATTTGCTCCATTCAGCCATTTGGAAAATAGTTAATTTATTTATATGCAGCTGGGTTAAAAAAAGGAAAATACATATTCCAATACCTTCTTAGCAGAAGCTAGTTTCCACATTCTCTCTTGTGCAAAATCAGCGGCCATCCACTGCATCTCTTCCAACAGATAATCCCAGTGAGATTTTGGTCTGCATGGCTCCTGCAGCTTCGGAAGCCGCCTGAGTGACCATAAACCTTCCTTTCGCAGTTCTGAAATGCGTTGATGTATATGGCTCTCCTATATTACAAAAATAGACACATATCATTAAATAAGCTTATAGAACACAAGAGGTTGGCAATTGAGTTACTGCATTCAACATCAATGATTATGGCACGCAACAAAGAATTTAGTGCATGCAAACAATGTTGCATCAAAAAAAAAAACAACAAAAAACACAGTAGATTTTTATTATTAAAATTGGTAGTACTCATTTTTCACTTGGGAAAAATGAGTACTACCACTTATTCACTTACAAAATATTTTAAAAACAGCATTATCTTGAGAAATTATTGCAACATTATTAACTTCATGCCTTCCTCCATATGTCCAAGGTTAAACGCATACACTCCAAGGGCACTGCATCTGGAAGCCAGACACCCATATGTCAAAGGCAAGCAAGCTCAAAGTGATGAATGGGCTTACATAACTCAGTCCAATACACATGTCTGCATTTCAGCTGTGGACACATGTAAATGTTTTCACTTGCACAACACTAACACAATGCAAGATATAAATTACATCCAGCATATGACTGACAACTTAAGCTAAAGAATCAGGCATTTGCCCATGGATTATTCTAGCTTGTCATCTATAAAACAAGTTAGAATATAAAGTTCACATAACATTAAAAACTGATTAATTTAGGAGTGATTTAAAACATTAGAACTGAAAAGAAAATCACATCTGCAGACTTTAGCACATGCAAACAAACATAACATGACTTCCCTCACTAGCATCACTCATCACTCTAAATCTAAAGATACATGTTCAAGGTTAAATCACTCAAGTGTAAACTGTTTGGAATACAAAGTAAATTCAAGTTTGAAATTCAGTTTAAAATTCCTGACAATTTTCACTTTGACTAAGAACCGAATGTATGAACATGTTTGTGAGTCCCACTCCCTTGGAACCCTATCATTTATAGCTAGCGTTATACAAACATAAGACTCATGCAAGCAATACACCCAGATGTTTTACCTGTTCATGTGGTTTGGGCAAAGAGGCTTCAGGTTGAATATCCCCTGTAATAGAGGTCACAATATCCTGGGATTGGGATCCTGAAGAACCAGGGGACCTGGAAGTGGAAGGTGACAGTGCTTTGCTGGCACCAGGCGACAAAATCCTTTTCGGCGAGACACTTGCGGGAAGGGGTACGGATTCTGAAATGCTGGTTGGAGTGGTGGGTGATGAAGGAGCAAGGTGCAAAGATGCAGAAACTGTGCGTTTACCAGCATCTGAGCCCAGCTTAGATGCAGAAGCCTGCAGAGAGATCACAACACTGAGTACATTGCAGTAAAAATGTATTTCTTCCTATGCTGCATGTGGAAATCTTAAAGTGTGAAGTCAAAGGATTTCCCTTACACATGTAAAGTCACAATACCAATACAAGTAAGTTCAGTCTTCTCAGTCACCATTCTTTTAAGGTATAATCTAAAAGTATGACACTGGTTGATAATACTATAAAATTAAGGACAGATCGTATAACCTCCAAGGCAGAGGTACAGATATTGATATTTTTTTTAAACATTCTAATAAAGACCTCAATTTTTATATTGTTGGATACGTTTTTCTAAATAATTTAGTGTTTTTGGTATAAACAGTCAAAATGACTATGAAAAAAAAATTTAACATTGATGTATAGGATATATTTTTGATATTTTAATATGTTCAGAAAATAATTTTAGAAATGTATTTAAAAATATTACATAATTTGAATAGCTTATCTAACAATATTAAATTGAGGCCGTAGTACATTAAAAAAGTAAGTAGAAGATTTACCATAAAAAAATAAAAAAAATAAAAAGAAAGTGCCAAATACCATGTATTTTTTGAAAAAAAAAATTAGAAAAAAATATTTGATTGGGTCTACGGTCATTATTACTTTAGCCAATAGTTGGGTCTGATACGGTACTTTTTAATATATCCTTTAGGCAACGCAAAAAAATATGTGGAATTTGTTGCTGCCAAAGATTTAATATAGCTTCTGTGATTCTGCTTTTAATGAAGGTGAACCCTATGCTGTCTAACAAGCTTCAGTGACATCTGCGTGTTGTGTAAAACCAGAAAACCTCTGAGTGACAAAGCAAATGTTTTCTATGTAATTTAGAAGTATTTAAAAACAAAAAAGAAAACCAGTGCATTTTAAAATGCTTATCAACATAATGTATTATAAATAGGTGTCAAGTCAGATAAGTGGTTTTGAAAGGTAATATCTATGAGTTACTAAGAAACTCTAAATAAACTAAAATCTGTATCTGCATATATGAGCCATCTTGATGATAACCAATGGCTTTCAAAGAGTTCATTCAATTATAAAGAATCCTAAGTTTAAATATTTTGGCAAACAAACATTTAATTGCCAAGAAATATAAACCTCCCATCAATATTTCATTAAAAACTATTTTTGTCTCATGGTTTATGGTTAAGGTTTTTAAATTAAAACTATAAAACACAATAAAATTAAAATTAACAATATAGTTTTAGAAAATGCAATAAAAAGAAGTGAGCAGTTAAAGTTTTTAAAAACCAGTCCCAAACTCTCTGCCTAGGAGAGTCAGCTCGTGGGAAGCCAAAGACACTTCATCAAAGGTTGATTTATATGTAACGGGATTGGTTTTCCAGCGTGACCAAATGTTATGAAGTATCAATTTGCATATGAACATTTACAATATTTAAGCTACAGAACAAAAGATTCACTATTTCCTGAGGTGTCCCAACGTGAACACCTGTTGATTTTTTAGAAAATTCAAGACCTAAATTTAAGTGAAGAAAAATAATCTCAAAACAGTTTAAATTATCAATGAGTTTCAATGAATTTTGTTGACAAGAGACCCAAGCAATATTTTTGTAATGCTAAAGAGCAGTAGATTTACATTCTTGAGTTAAAGCTCAACATGATTTGCTTTGTATTTCTCATGGATGCGCTTCCTATTTATTAAGTTCATTATATTGGCCTTCTGCAAGAAGAAAAGCACCCTAAATTGTGTGCTCGGAGCACATGTGAGCATGTACACAGTGCACCCCTAGTGTGGGCACACAAATTCCAAATTCCACAAAAGTCACATAGGCTGCTGTCCTAATAAATGCCAATCGAAGTTCAGTCTGACAATTCTATACGAAATACCACATTTCACCCTAGTTCCTATTAGTGTTTCATGTAAATTGCTGTTTCATTTATTCATCATGATAATCTGCTCATGCAAAGCTGCACTGTACTGTCTTTTGAGTTTTTCATAAAAACAGAATCTTTACCTTACATAAATGTGAGAAAATAAAATAAACACAGTGCGTTACCACTTGCCCTGATATTTACTACCAGTCTTCAATTGAAGAGAAAAGCCACCTTATTGAATAAGAAATAAATTCCCATAGCATCACATATCTGTGGGTGATAAGCTTGTCCAGTTCTTCCATAGAAACCCATTTTTTACAATTCTGGCGCATAATCAAAGGTATAAAGGTAAAATAGTTTCTGACGGGTTCATCTGGCAAGAGCTGAACGCATCAGGTATATCTACATCTCATCTTTCACCCCCAGACTCCTTTGTGTAATAAAAAGGTCAACTGGGGTTGTGTAACTCAATACCAATCTCAAGGTGTGGAGAATAATAGATAATCATGTCATATCCTCATCCCTGTTTTATTGAATTGACAACATTTTGGTAAAACAAGTTTTAATAAACCCTCCCTTTAAATACTATTGCTTTATACTTGATAATAGAGGAGGGATATGCTTTGTCGTTCCAAAATACAGTTAGTCCAATAAATAAATAAAAAATTGCAAGGCACTACAATTAGATAAATATATATAAATCTAACATATATATTAAAAAAAAAAAAAACACAAAAAATGCAATGTAGAGCATGCATGATTAAAACATACCTGTAGTGATTGGGGTTTCAAGGAAGATTGGTCAATAAGCATGGGCTGAGGTTGTTGGGAGATTTGGTTTTGGGTAGATTGTACAGAAGGAATGCTAGAAGCCATTTTTCCCTTCATCTGAGACTGAGCATCTGTCACAATTTGCTGTTGTAGTACAGTGTGCACTGTGTTAGTGACAGAGGAGACAGGCATTTTGGGAACCTGGGCTCGGCTTGGAGATGGCAAGTTGGTTGTATTTGGCACAGCTGAAACCTTGGAGGCAGCAGGAGCCGTTTGCTGAGAGGGTGGTATCCCAACTGTAACAGAGAATGGGCCTATCAACAAAAACACACAAAGAGAACTCAGGTCAGTCAAACTAAATTGGGAGGGCATTGGATCAACAAGTGGAGAGCTGAGATATATTTATTTAAAAACAGTACTGGATAAAATGTAATGTTTTCAAGCCACTCCACAATTGTCTATGAAACGGTTATTTATGTTAATATTAATACACTGGGTGCCATTATGTGCAATTCATAGTTTAGTGAATTATTGTGCAGTCAAAAACAAAGGTATGAAATCAACTTCAAATAAATCTTTGACTTTAAACAATTGCTGATGATTAAAAATTAAATTACATCAGGCATGTAGGCCTCGATTTTATTATTTTGGTTAAGCTTCACTAATTACTCCAATCTGTTACAAAAACTTTTCAAATGATTTATCTACAAAAATTCCCTTAGACATTAATGATGACTTCTGTACCTCCTATAGACTGTAAGCTCGTTTGAGCAGGCTCCTCTTCAACCTATTTATAGTTAAATCCCCACTCTTATAATATTGTAAAGCACTACGGAATATGTTGGCGCTATATAAATGGCGATAATAATAATAATAAATAATTTGAAAAGTTGTTCTGTTAGATAGTGATAACTTGAGAAGGTGATCTAAAAGAATTAAAAAGAGGCCCTAGTTGGAAGATGACATGTCCACTTTATAGTCACGGTTATGGGTTTATATCTGTAAATAGAGGGAAAAGACCTAACATTTAGCTTTGTTTTGTTTTGTTTTTAACAAACTTACCATCTTTACCAAATCTACCAGTCGATGGGACTTGAGAAACCCCAAGAGTTACTTTAGGGTGTTTGGAGTCACTTGTGCCATGTGACTGTGCCAATGATGTATCTGAAAAACCATGAATAAGAACTTATACAGTGGGATTGCTAAACAGGAACCATAGCATTTTGTTATTTTTTCAATATTGAGCAGGGAATTAAATTAGGATTCCATTCAAACATAGGTGAGTGTATGTGCATAAAGCATTGGTTTGTAATATCCGAATAAACAATTGCATTAAAAGGGATATTACAGTATAAATTGGATGGCTAGACCTGCACACATGCATGATAAAGAAATGAATGATATACGACAGCAGATTTTTCTGTTCCCATAACAATCAATGTAGCAGTGTTTGTCTGATGTGTTGGAGTGGAAAAAATGTGTACATCAACAGAAGATTCGTCCATATGGGCTAGTGGGTCGTCCCAAAAATATTTACAAAATAAAAATAAACATTTTTTCTACAGTCCTTGAAAAGGGTATTTTATCTGTCCCTTCACTGCTTAGGTCTGCAATTTTCTCTCACCGTTACCGACCGGAAAGCGGTTGACCGCATACTGAGCAAGGCCTGATTTTTGGTAGTTTATAGAATTCAACCAAATTTGTGTGCATCCGACATGCAACATTTGCTCTGATTAGCTGTGTGAAAGTCTTCAGATGTCAAACAATGCCTCATAGTGGAGAGGATATTTTACACAACCCTTAAAAATAGGCTTAGCTATTGGCATGTCTTTTGGTGCAGACGTGCTAAGGACACTAAGAAGTGGAGTGCCAGCAGACTTTCTCTTCTCCTGGCGGCCCAAAGTCGCAGTGATTAACCACTGGACCTTGAAACAGTAAACCTTCCGACTTGGATTTATTTGGGGAAAAAATTTTAATACGCAATAAGTTTGGGAGGCTGTTTGGGCTCCAAAGAACTTTCTGAAGATCACATCAAAGCTGATCACTCTCAGCCAACAAATTACATTCTGTGAATAGAATTATGCACAGAATTGACATCAACTAGCCAGGAACTCTTGTTCTGGATAGATTGCAAGCTCAAAGGCTATCTAAATAGGCACCTTATATACATGAGTTTCAATGCTAGATCTCAGCTCCCAGGCAGGGCCCTCTTTACCTTTTGTATTTGTCAGTGTATATTGTACTGTTAATTTTCCCCAATTGTACAGTGCTGTTGGCGCTTTATAAATTCCAGTAATAAATAAATAGTAACCATGTCACTTCAAATCACAGTGGTGGTCATGGTGCCTGGCATAACCCTTTAAGTCATGCAATATTCTCAAGTACTGCGGCTTCACGTGTAAGAGGCCTGAAACAAATCACTCCAACAGACACAAACTGCAGCCACATCTCACATACATAACACAGTAAGTGCAGACTTTACCTGCTTCATAAAATGCCAGTCATTAGGAGGCTATACATGGTTTAGTTAAAACAGACAGGAAACCAGTTCATGTCAATCATGGTGGATGGAATTTGTGTATCATGCGGATGAGTGGACTCATGTTCACATGTATCACTAAATTAATACATTGAGACTAATTATTTAAATGAAAACATTAATATGGACATTGTCTACATCTAGAGATAAACTCTCTAGCGTCCATCTGGAACCTAGACGGTTATTAAAATATCTAGTCTCTAAACGGCATGTCCCAGTGTCTATAAGGTTCCATCGCCTTCAAAATACATAGGCCGTCATTTAGAGATAGTGAATGCTTGGGTAAATATATTTGCCAACAAATTTATATCAGACAAATTTCAGAAATGACATATGTTTAGCTTTACAATCTTTTCAGCATATTTCACTATGTGTTATAGTATTTACAATTCACATTTAATATGAATACAATCTTCAATATAAAGCTCTACATATGGAAAGGGATTATGGTCTAGGAATATCCCATATGCCCTATAATTCCCTACACTTTGCATATTACTGTGCGGGTTCACACATGGAATCAATGGAAGTTATTAGAGCTTGGGACAATGCAACACTGATCACCAGGAGGAGGTGTTTGTGTGCCACTGCTACACACCTCACCCTAATGACGAATTCAATTTGTGTTTACTAAGGTGGAGAAAAGAGGAATTATTCCCCCCCAAAAATTGACAATTCGTCCATAATATATTTCAATGTTAGCAGGAAAGCATTTCATTTTAATCAAGTTATTCTGTATTCTCCCCTGATGAGAAGTATGGTAAAGCAAGAACTATAAACATGTAATACCATTTGGAGTTGAAGTTTCCTTTTGCATACTGGAAGCTTGTGTTTCCATGGCAGTAGGAATCTCTGACGCTGGACTTTGAGAAGGAACCTGAGGCTTAAAACAAAAATAAAACATAGGAACACCCATTAGACAAGCTATGGATTCTAGTCTAGAAAATTAGCTCACTATCTAGCAAGCCAGCTAGATACACAAAACACATGGAGCAAGTTAGCTGGATAATCATACACATATAGAATTCAGCTTATTTTGGCACAGAAACCTACACATGTTCATCACTTAATAGTCAATAGTAAAGCTGGCCCTTTCTTATTTTCATCATTATGAGTTTATTGAGACTGCCTATGTTGGCAGAGCACTCCACAACTTAAATACATTGAACATTAAAACTGTTCAAACGTGTAACACAGTTACTTTGTATATTATAAACATTTTAGACAGAAATTCTATTTTTAAAAAAATTCTTACCTGAGTGACATGGGAAGAATTCTTATCTCCTTCTTCCTCTTCTATTTCAAGATCCAAGTCATTTTGCCTGAGAAATGCCTGCAGCAGTATGCTTGGTTTCTTCTTAAAGGCCAAGAAATCCATCATGTTCCCTTGACAATGTTGTAGGAAGAACAGCTCAATCAGGTACTCTTTAAAGTTTTCCTTCAAGACCTTCATGGTTTTATGGTGATGCTCCAAACACTGCTTCCGCATTTGAGCATCTTCTTGGGTTGCAGGGGGAATTTCTTCCAACTTTTTACTTTGTTTTCTCATATTGGTGCTAACTGTAGGTGCAGAAGGAAGACCAGAGATTCCCTGAGGACCAGTCGTCCGTGATGGGCTTGTTGGAGCAGGTAGCGTTTTCCCAAAAGCTGAAGCTGCAGCCACCCCAGCCATCATGCCACCAGAACTTCTATCAAAGCTGATGGTCCTTGCAAGCTGTTGGCCATGAAGAACCTGCTGCTGCTGGATCAGCTGACCCTGGATAATACTGCTTAACTGTGGGGATAGATTGGTGGTGGTTAAGTGGCTTGTTCCGCTCTGGTGTACAGAGCCAACAGTCTGTGAATTGGAGTGCAGTAGAGTACGTGATTGGACTGGAGCAGTGGTTCCAGATGGATGATGTACTTGAGCTCCCTGTGCAATCTGGGTAATTCCAGACCCTTCCTGAAACACAAAATGTCCTGTACTTGACGGAGTAAGGCTGAGCTGCCTGACAAGCAAACTAGCATCCACAAACCCACGTGTGGGGCTTTGGCTGCACATACTCAAGCTGGCTCCTGCAGTTCCTCCCCGAACACCCTGTAATGCTTGTAAAGGCACTGCACTTGGTTGTGTAGGGCTTTGATTTTGGACCTGTTGAGACATTGGAGAGGTAACCTGGATATAGGATGTTGATCCATGCTCAAACCTTCTTGGTTGGGAACTGAACTGGAACCCTGGTGAGGAAGGACTGGTAAGGGGGAGTGAAGTCAGAGTTATCTGCTGATTTCCTGCCACCACGGACCCCACATTCTGTAAAGTTATGTTAACATTCTGACCAGCCACCGGGTTCCGGCTCATTATGAGTTGCTGAATTTGGTATCCAGGTGACTGTGGTCCAGCAGAACTGACTGTTGTTGTAAATGATGGTGCAGGAGATTGTGGGGTAGACTTCTGAGCCCTTTGTTGTTCTCCATCATTTCCTGAGCTTGCTTTGGAGGTTGGAGTATCTTGGGAACTGTTACCATGGGGCATTATAACCCCCCAAAAATGTTTTTATTGCAATACGCAATCCTGAAATACTGCAGTTGGGAGAGAAAGAAAGACAGACGGGGGAAAAAAAAAATTGTATTAATACTTAATGTCCAACTATGAAACAAAACTATTTCACATATAAAGATTATTTTCTGACAAGCAATTATCATACATCTGTCATCCATAATAATATAAAAAAAATATATATATATATGTTTTTGTTATTATTATATAAACCATTTTTTTCTTTTTCTTTTATTTAAATTGGATTTCTTTTAATAAAATGCCCTTGGTTGAAAATTCTGTCTAAAGATAGTTTTCTGTTAAAGGGATACCATAGGCACCAAAACAACTTTAGCTTAGTGAAGCAAAATTGTTGCATAGTTCTTGCCCCTGCAGACCCACTGCTCAAACTTCTGTCATTTAGGTGTTAAAGCGGCAGTGTCACTTACTGGGAACTTTGCTGAACTGGCAAACACCCCCACTGGGGGTCCACTGGCTGTGAGCGGGTGAAGCATGCAAAACTGAGCGTTACCGTATATACTCGAGTATAAGCCGAGCCGAATATAAGCCGAGGCCCCTAATTTTACCACAAAAAAATGGGAAAACTTATTGACTTGAGTATACTCCTAGGGTGGGAAATGCAGCAGCTACTGGTAAATTTCTAAATAAAATTAGATGTGTGTTGTGTATATAATGCAGTGTGTGTTTAATTTTTTTATTTTAAGATTATTATTTTAATATTATATTATTGTAATAATATTATTATTACTTTAATATTTGCATTATTTTTTTTAAATGTTTTTTTGTCCCCCCTCCCTGCTTGTTGCCTGGTCAGGGAGGGGGGACAAAAAAAAATAATGCAAATATTAAAATAATAATAATATAATAATAAAATAATATTATTAAAATAATATTATTTTAATATTTGCATTATTTTTTTTTTAATGTTTTTTTGTCCCCCCTCTCTGACCAGGCAACAAGCAGGGAGGGGGGACAAAAAAAAAAAAAAAATAATGCAAATATTAAAATAATAATATAATAATAAAATAATATTTTAATAATATTATTTTATTATTATTAAAATAAAATAATATTAAATCCCTGGTGGTCCAGTGGCATTGGCAGTTCAGTTGGGGGGCTGACAGTGAGCTGTTACTTACCTTCCTGCAGCTCCTGTCAGCTCCCTTCTCAGCTCTGTTTTGTTTACAGTGTAAGTCTCGTGAGACCCACGGATCTCGCAAGATTTACACTGTGAGCAGCACGGAGCTGACAGAGGAGCTGCACGGAGGAGAAGGGAGCTGACAGGAGCTGCAGGAAGGTAAGTAACAGCTCACTGTCAGCCCCTAACAGGACCGCCGGGCTTGTAATGAGCCCGGCGGTCCTGGTCTGTATTGTGGCAATGTAAGTTGCCACAATACAGACTGACTCGAGTATAAGCCGAGTTGGGGTTTTTCAGAACAAAAGATTGTCTCTGTATATCTTTTGGCTTGGTTGAAATTTCAAACACAGTCAAAATCAGTATGAAATACTTATTTTCAGAGGGGGTGGTGATAGTACTACTTTAAATAACTTGTGTTTCTGTTTATGCAGCCAATACACACCTCCTCTGGCTGTAATTGACAGCATGTATAAATAAAAATGGTTTTCTAAAATTTAGGTTCTTTTTCAGGAAGTGTTTAGGAAAGTTGTGCAAGTCACATGCAGGGAGGTGTGACTAGAGCTCCTAAATGGCTAAGAATTGAGCTGTGGGACTGTAGGGGCATGATCTTTATAGCAAAACTACAATTGCTTTAGTGCTTATAATAACCCTTCAAGATACATTATAGTATTTTATTCTGTATGGAACACGGCTCAGTTATTAAGCAATAGGCTGTATATTCATGCAATATTACATTTTTGGTTAGTTAATTGAACTTGTGCTTACAGAAATAATGTGCACTTTTTCACAGCACAAATAATATTAAAAAGGTAAACAAAACCAAAAACACACACTGGAAGTTCAGAAAAAGTCCTTAATCTATTGTTATTCTGCAAATCTAGATACACTCAATGAATATACAATTTATATAACCACTAAAGTCCCCCAGACCACTTCATCTGAATGAATTACTCTGGGTAGAGTGGCCTTTAGTTTTAACCCTGCAATGTAAATATGTAAAACACTAGTTTTGTAGAAACTGTAGTGTATCCAATGCATGGTTACGTCTGCCTCTAGTAGCTGCCATACTGAATTCAAACTCAGTCACAAGGTGCAGATGCTTGTAGGAAAGCATGTGCATCATGTCCCCAATGCTCCTATATGAAAAGAAAATGGATTCGACCATCTCCAGAGACCATTCCTCCCAAATAACGGTGTGAGAGACAAATAATTGGGCAGCGCCAAAGGAGTATCTGTGCTGGAAAAAGGTGAGTAAAGTTTTCCCATTCCGAACACAGAAGTTGCTCTGAGTGATTAATCTATTAAACTGGAAATATTCATCTTGAAATAATATAATAATTTCTGGTATATAACCAAATCACTTCTGATATAACTTAAAATAATCTGAAAAGTTGTTGTACTAAACATGGAACATTCACCTGGTTGCAAACATTGAAGATTATAACAGCTATTAAGAATGAGTCTTTAGATTTAGAAATCATAATTTAAAAAGAGTCTTATGAACTGGTGATTTAAATAATCACTTAAAGGGACACTATAGTCACCAGAACAACTACAGCTTAATGTAGTTGTTCTGGTGAGAATAATCATTCCCTTCAGGATTTTTGTTGAAAACACTGTCTTTTCAGAGAAAAGCCTCAAGACACCTCCAGCGGCCACTCCTCAGTTGGCCACTGAAGGTGCTTCCTGGATCAGTGCTGCACGCTATGCATGGAGACGCTGAACTTTTCTCATGGAGGTGCATTGATTCAATTAATCTTTATGAAGCAGTGCTGATTGGCTGAGGCAGTGTTTGGTGCACATCTTGATGATCCAATGCTTTCCCCTGAGATCATCAATTCTGATGTCAGCCAAAGAGGTGGATCGGAGAAGGACCAGCATTTGCAGACCCATGGAGAGCTTTAAATAAGATAAGTTTTAACCATTTCTAAGGGAGAAAGCGGAGGGTAGGCAAGCCACCTAAATGGTGGTTTTAACACTATAGAGTCAGAAATGCAGGTTTGTGTTCCTGACCCTATAGTGTTTCTTTAAATTAAATCCATGCTGGCTATCAGTCAATGGATATTACATTCAGCAATAACTGAAATTGCTATTAAAATGTGTGATAACAACAATAATGCTTTTCACTTCTGACATATGTTGCAAAAAATTACAATTTATTTTTCTTTTGTGACCAATTTTATAATATTTGTCCCCAAATACAATTACAATATTACTTTTGAGACCGGGTGAACAGTTGTTTCTTTTAGTAAAGTGTGTAATGTAATAGCTGGAGGCAAAGGCAGAATGAGTTCCCACATCCATCTGTATACTGGAAACAACATGTCAGAGGGTGTAGATCTCACACACCACCATTAACTCATGACATTAAAAGTTGAGTGTACAAACACACAAAGTCTTGCAACTATATGTGCCAGAACCATGACACTTACAAAATACTGGGAGGTTACACCATCAAGGCAAAGACATTCATTAATCTACTTCAACCCTGAGTGATTTTAAAATGAATAGTGCACTTTACAGTATAGTGTTTGCAATATTCTAAATATTCTTTCAGTTTTCATTTTGCTCCAGTCACCACTGTGCATCTCAGAGTTGCCAATCACAAGTGGATTCCTTTTGCCGCCCACTCTGTGGACACACCACAGACGTAAACAGGAATGAGGAGAGAAACCAATTGTTTGATCTAAACCAGGGGTAGTCAACCTTTTAGTACCTACCACCCACTTTTGTATCTTTGTTGATGGTAAAATGTCCTTATCGCCCACCAGTGCCGCAGTTACTAATTTTCTACCGCAAGTGCAATATTTATATTTATTTATTTTTAGAAATTAGGTTGTTTTTGTTTTGTTTTGTTTTTTAAATATGTACTAAAATTTATATTTTTTTCTCAATTTTTCTGTGTGTGTCTGTTTTTGTGTGAAGGGTGCATATGGTCTATGTTGTGTGAAGGTGGGTGAGATGTGGAAATCTATCTTAATGTCTCCTCCTTCTTCTTAAATAATGTTGCAAGCCCTGATGGTCCAGTAATGGCATGTTCACTTTTGCCTGCAGCTCCTCCAGCTAACTCTCCTGTCCTCCTGTGAGCACAGCACTGTATTGGAGCGTTGCCATGGTAACATGCGGCAACGCTCCGACCAGCCTGTAGTGGGAGGATCACAGAGCCTCCCAGGTACTTCCCTCCCTCTGCAGGGCCGGTGAGGGAGAGCCTTTTATCTACTCACCAGCCCGAGAGGGCTTACAGCAAGGCTGGCTCTGCATGGCCAGCAGAGGAGATGAAAGGATCTCCCCTGGCAGCCTTGGTCCTGGGCCATTGAGGCCCACTGGGCATTTTTCTGCAGAACCCACCACCACCCACCTGAAATCCCAAACCACCCACTAGTGGGCAGTAGGGACCAGGTTGACTACCCCTGATCTAAACAAAGTAAAAAGGGAAACCCAAAAAGCAGATGGATCATTTATTTCCTAAGGGACAGGGGTGCACATGCCCTAGGGACTGCCTACAGGTAATTTGAGAGGTTTAAAAAGTTACTCTAACCACCATGATCACATTGGGTTTTTTGAAGTGGTTATGGTGGTAGGAGTCTGGATGTACAATGTTTCCGCTTTATTTTTAATTGTATGCTGGGGGTAAGTTCTTCTCTTCCAGGCTGCCTAATGTCAATTCAGTGCATATTTTAAGTTTGTCGTCAGAGCGATTTGCATGCTGGCGGCAGAAGTTCACTGCTTTTCCCTTGCAGACAGAGCAAATGTATCAGTTGTAAGAGTATAGCAGTGACCGACTATTCTCTGCGATGTAGAGCTCTCTCACTGACTAAGAGCATCAACTGAGAACTCTAAGCCAATGCCAAGGCTTAGCCCAAGGCTGAGAGCTTTCGGCTATTAAGAAGTGCAGGTGGACCCCATGTAAGTTGTTAATCCGTTGGTAAATAAGTACTTACCCAGTGAAGATGCCAGGGCAGTTCTGGCACCATAACCACTATGTGCTGTAGCGGCTATAGTGTTTTGTGCAAGTGCAAGCTTAAAGGAACACTCCATTGCCCACACACAAATCATGTTTTAGTAACCAACTATTTCCAAATTAAAAATATCTTAAAACAGCCTGCAAAAGTTGCAGTTCTCTTGCCTGCTGCTTTTGCAAGTCCCCTTATTCTAACCCCATCCAGACTTTCTGTGTCTGTTCAACCACAGACTTCCCAATGCAGCTCAACAAGAAGTCTTTGCAAGGCAGGGGCTCTGGGTAATTGCTGCCTCTTGAGTTTAGGTCCATCTAGTTTGTAGTTGCTCTGGTGAGTATAATCCTTATATGCAAGCATTTTTTATGCAAACACTGTCTTTTCAGAGCAAAGGCAGTGCTTACATTGCCCTTAGTGGCACCTCAAAGTGGCCATTCCTCAGTAGGCAGCACTGCCATTCAGCGTCTCAATGGGGCTCTGCATGGGGACGCTGAATTTCCCTCATAGATATGCATTGTTTCAATGCATCTCTCTGAGGAGGTGCTGATTGGCCAGAATGGCATTTGGTCCCGCCCCCTTGCGATTTTATCCAATCCAATGCTTTCCCCATGGGAATGCATTGGATTGGCTAAAAATCAGCAATTCTGATGTCATTGGCGGACCCGCGCAGCGCTGGAAATAAGGTGAGTTTTAATTCCTTTTAAGGGGGCTAAGGCGTGGGGGATGGGGGGGATTAAGCCACATAAATGGTGTATTTTGCACTATAGGGTCAGGAATACATGGTTGTGTTCCTGACCCTATAGTGTTCCTTTAACTCCACTCGCGTTAACCAGGAAGGAACACGACCTGTTGAAGGTTTTAAAGCCAGAGGCCTGAAAACAGGTTCATTTATAGAAATGTCAATTTCCATTGAAATGTGCACTATTTGCAAAATGAAAAATAAAATAATAAAAATAAAAATAAATAGTATGCACTTCAGCTAAAGTGATTTAGAGTATGGAGTGTCCCTTTAAATCTACCTCTCGTGGCTATCTTACTAAAAAGCCACCAGAGGCGCTTCCACTCTATTGACAAGGTGTAAATTAAAGCGGCTTTGCCATTATCTGATTCCTATTTTGCTTATCCCCACCAACTCTACTAGTTCCTGGTGTCACATCCAATGTGTTCTTAACACTGGCCCCCTTAATCATTTTGACAATTCTTTTCAGCACCTGATTCTTTTTAAAGTATCCCTTTAAGCTACTACCTGTCTCAAGATTTGTCAAGCCAAAGAAAAATACATGAGAAAAAATAGTCCATAGTTTGTCTGTGTTTTTAAAAAGAAATAGATAAGAAAAGAAGAACAGATTTGTAAATTGAAGAGGAAACAATTAGAGAAAGTTAAAGGACCACTATAGTGCCAGGAAAACATACTCGTTTTCCTGGCACTATAGTGCCCTGAGGGTGCCCCCACCCTCAGGGACTCCCTCCCGCCCGGCTCTGGAAGGGGGAAAGGGGTAAAAACTTACCTTTTTCCAGCGCTGGGCGGAGAGCTCTCCTCCTCCTCTCCGCCTCCGTTACGCCCTGCCGGCTGAATGCGCACGCGCGGCAAGAGCTGCGCGCGCATTCAGCCGGTCTCATAGGAAAGCATTTACAATGCTTTCCTATGGACGCTTGCGTGCTCTCACTGTGATTTTCACAGTGAGAAGCACGCAAGCGCCTCTAGTGGCTGTCAATGAGACAGCCACTAGAGGATTAGGGGGAAGGCTTAACCCATTCATAATTATAGCAGTTTCTCTGAAACTGCTATAATTATGAAAAAATGGGTTAACCCTAGAAGGACCTGGCACCCAGACCACTTCATTAAGCTGAAGTGGTCTGGGTGCCTAGAGTGGTCCTTTAAGTTGTGGGGGGATTGAGCTGCTTTAAAAGGAACAATTCCAGGACCATAACCATTACAGAGTGTCCTGGCTCCTCTCCACTGTAAGATTTAAAACTGTTTTAGAATGGAGTTCTTACCTGGGATCCACTGTGTGCTGCACCTTGGCTCCACTATTTCAGACGGAATGGAAAATCTCGGTCTGAGCCAAGCACTGTGGTGCACAGCTACACTCAGGAGAGCTAATGAAAGCTCCAGCTCTTCGTTGGTAGTGGAGACAGAAAGTGGTACGCAGAAGACCACAGGTAAGATGTCATACCATCCAAGTAGAATGATATTTTTAGTGTTTCTTTATGTATTATCCAAAACAGAGAAGAGATCCTTTCCATTGCACAGCTCGGATGAAGCAAATTAAAACACCATGACCCTGAAATGTATGCTGACAGCAGGGCTCAAAATCTCTAATAACCGCTAGGCACTGACAAGTTAAAGTTTAGCCCTGGCAAGTAGAAATTCACCCCAGTTAGGGAGTAACTTTCAAGACCTAGCTACTAGCATAGGACTTAAAGGGACACTGTAGTTCCAGGAATACAGAGCTGTATTCCGGGCACTACCGATCCCTCTGCCTCGCGCCCCCCACCTCCTGGGTAAATAAAGGTTTTTTAAAAAGGTTTTTTGTCTGTGGGCGCTGTGTCGAAGCTCCGCCTTCTCTGGTGTCCGCGACGAGCGGGGTCTAATGCGCATGTGCGGCAAATGCCGCTAGCACATTAGACCTCCTCATAGTTAAGCATTGACGTACAGAGTCAGATAACTGACCAAAAGTTCGTTACGATTCTGGAAGCTGGTAGACAGCCACTAGAGGTGAAGTTACCCTGCAAGGTAATTATTGCAGTTTATAAAAACTGCAAAAATTACACTTGCAGGGTTAAGAGTAGTGGGAGTTGGCACCCAGCAACTCCAATGGGCAGAAGTGGTCTGGGTGCCTGGAATGTCCCTTTAAGGGACTGATCTTTGCATGAAATATTTTTGTTGCTTTCTTAGTGTGTACACACTGGAACTGTATATCTATATATTTTTTCACATTTTTAAAACAAAAATTCACTTTTTTGGATTATTTTCTTTTTCTCTTGTTTTTGAGTGTGGTATCATACATTATTATTACATCTATTTAAGGTATTTTGTAGGCTACCTGGATGCCAGCACCACTACAGATATGGGAGTGCCAATACATTTGGAATTTTCTAGGAAAAATCTATTTCACAAACCTAAGAGAAAAATATACTTTTTTTTTTAAATTCTCTCTTAATGCTACAAGCAACTGATTTTCCAAATAAGTGGCCCAAGTAGTAAACTGGCACGCAGCAACTGGTCCATCATCACATTTCCTATCAAATGCCAATAATCTTTTAAATCCAACTTTTATTGAATCTTGGCTTCACAAGAAGTACATTCAGTGCTACAATTAATTGATATGGTCACGAAACCACTCTTCCTCTCTCCTCTGTAATAAAATTCAGTGATTTTATCGGTTTTGTTTAAAAAGGTCAAATTTGTTTTAATTAAGAGAAATTTATTTAACACATTTTTAGAGCAACTAATAATAATCTTACATTCCAAAGAATAAAATACGAAGATACAATTTACCCTTCCACAAAATGAGCCATCAAATATAGTTTAAAATAATGGTGTATCTCGGTCATGTTAAGCTTTTCCACTAAATCCAAGATTTGCGGTCTGCTTCATCCGGGAATATAAATCAATTGAAAATAATATTTCAATGTGAGTCACTGAAAGGTGGTGTATATATTTAGCCCACATTTCAGAATCAGCACTATTTAAAAATCAATGCCCCCTTTTTATGTGCTTCAGAATAAATTAGATTGAAAGCCATGGAAGTGGTGAGACATGCAGCAGGTAAATTCTTATTTTAGAATAATCTATTAAACAGAGACATCTATTCCAGGCTACTGTTCTTCCATGAGTGCACACAACCTAGGTCCAACCACAAAGGTGTTCCTAGCCCAATAAATCAAAATAACCTACTGAATGCTACAGAAATAAGTTACGGTCATCTTTGTTTTCATGACATGCCTTCATTTAACTCTCACCATAAAAAAAAAAAAAAAAAACACTATTAAAAATGTATTGTGGGTAAGGTGTACAGTGCGTGTAAGCTTAAAGAAATTTGTATATACATTGCACTTCCAGGTGACTGGCACCTCCTATGCCTGGCATAAACACACATGTTGCAAATTTCCTATCAGTTACTGGCACACAGAAAAAAAATATCACTAAACTCCATACACTTCCTGATTTAAATGTTGAGTGAAACAAAAAATGAGTTTATAAAAATGCACAATTAAATGCTAACTTCTAACTATTTAAAAGGTAATGTTACTTTCCATGTGATAACGTCCTCAGTAAACAGTTTACACTGGTCGTATGGAGTGACAAACTAATGATTTGCAGTGTGGCTAGAACACCAGCAGAGACATTTAAAATCTGGAATCTGTTTCTGAATGGGTGTGTGGGACATCCATACAGAACGCTCAGTATCTGGGATTCAATGATGTAAAACATTCATTTTTTAATTGCAATCAGACAAGCAAAAATCAATGCATTTAGGAACATTTGGCCACTTGAAACAGAGGCAAAAGTTTCTTTAGAGCTGTAAATTGTGTAATATTAGTATTTTAGTACAGAACATGGATATTATTTCAAAAACACTACTGTTTAAGTAACTACACTACGTTAACTGCAGGTGAAATGCTATCGGTGTTGACTGAAATCACATCATAATATACAACACAGGAAATGCAGATATCTGCATTTAAACTAAAGGCAAAGCTTGTGCAGAATCTTTCAGATAAATTACTAAAGAATATAAAAATAAGCCATGCATGTGATCTCGTGTGCATTAACACAAAAACAAAACAAATAATTAAGTCTTCATATTGCAAGTGCATAATAAGAGGTATAGTGCAAAAATAATAGCTGGGGATCTGGCAACTCCTGAATTAAAAGAAAAAAAACTAGTTTTCTCAGTATATAAACAAGCCATCGTGTGCATACAAAATAAATGGAAAAATAAGCAAGTGGATCAGTGTTTATATCTCATGTCCCTATTTCTGCAGGAGGCTTCCTAGGACGAAATGCAACACAACCAACTTCCTAGTAAAATAATGGTTCCAGACCAACTCATAATGAAACCAGGGGGCAGGTTAACCCGTTCACAGCATGGGAGGGGGCGCCAGCTAGGCCTCTGTAAATAGGAAGCAAGGGCTCGCAGGCCCCAGCATGGATTTCGGGTGTTTTCCCGTGAAGCCCTGGAGGTTATAAGGGAGGAGGGGGCGGGGGGGGTTGCACTAGATATGAAGTACACCGTCCCCGAGGCTGTCCAGCGGCCAGCTTGATCCACACAAAGTTGTGTGTCCATGGAATCTACTTCCTGAGCCGGGCACGTTCTATCCGAACCCGGGCAGAGTAGCACGCTGATACTTTGTATCAGGGAAGTTCCATGCTCGCTCTCGCTGTACCAGGCCTGCTTCCCACCCCACTCTATGCAGGGACCCGCCAACAGACAGTGCTCCACTTACCCCAGTAACTGCTCCGATACGGCTGCCCCCCCCACCCTCCGGACTCACAAAGGCAGCGAGGGCTTCGGCAGCAGATCCCCGCTTACAGAGGCCGAGGAGGGCCAATCTGAAAATGCAATTCATAGGGTAATACCACTGGCAGCCACGTGGGGCGCTGCGCTGAGATTCAATCAGTAGTAGTACTAGTAAAAATATGTGTTGTTCTTGATGTGTTTCAAAGCGGCTGCATGAGCTTATCCTTACTGACAATATGTATTGAACTGAGGTATCTGTGGATTAACCCCTTAAGGACACGTGACATGTCATGATTCCCTTTTATTCCAGAAGTTTGGTCCTTAAGGGGTTAAACTAAATTATAATTAAAAAAAAAAAAAATAATAATAATAAAAACAATAATTAGTATTGGTGTTGTTCACCTAGTTATTGTTTTATTATTTGGGCATTAATGTTACAATACTAAGTTCCAAAATCTGGTGCTGCAGCCGTGTTTTTCAGAGATGTTTTCAATGGTGTAAAATGACCAGTAGTTTATTATTATTATTATTATTGATTTATAAAGCGCCAACAAATCACAGCAAAATGCTCTCAGTTTACATGTAGTCGATTTCCTGTCAAATATTTTTAACCCTTTAATACGGTAATGAGATAATAATGCCAAACCAAATACATTGCGATGAACGAATGGTTAAATATATAATAATATTAATAGTTATAATGTATTGTTACTTGCATAATACTCGAACAATAAAGTAAACAATTAATTCAATTACTCTTTTTTTTAGTTACAATTATATGCCTGTTCGTCCACCCATTGTAAAGCGCTGCGGAATTTGATGGCGCTATATAAATACCATAATAATAATAACAGGTAGTAAATAGTGCTCGAATTTAAAGGAACGCTCTGCTGAAAATGTATTTTTAACAGTTTAGTAGATATACCCTCAAATAAAATACATGTATTTTTGTCTGCATGTTTTATTTGGGGGGTGGGGGAAAGAAAAACAACTTGCAAAATCTGCAGACCTTCTGTTTCATAGATAAATAACGAAGGAACAGTTTGATTTTTCAACAAAATGCAAGAAAATATTTTTAAATACAACATTGACTGATTGATGTTGCATTTTTGTTCAAAATAGGATCTGTGTGAGAAAGACAATTGATTGTAAAATTTTCTCTGTAGTAAATAACTATGCATTTCTTCCGTGTGGAAGCGTTAACTCACAGTGAACATCGCAACCAATAGAAAGAGCTGGAATATCATGTTTGTAATATTACTCTCCCACCATACTGCATGCAACATCAAACTGAAGACTGGGTATGGGAGGGTTGACAAGAAGGCAATTGCCTCCAATGCCTCTTGCATACAGTGATTGCGTGCTGAAGCCTTAAACTGCCTTTGCTGATATAAATAGCAGGATGTGCATTTAGATGTTTGTTGTCACAGCACTGCAGGTTTTAGGCAGCAGGCAGGTTTGTGCAGGACATTACTGGTCCAGTATGTGTGGGTTTGCGCTTAAACTGTTGGTATGCAATCTTCATGTTCAAGCATATATTCTGGTGGATTTTAGCATGAGATGAAGGACTGTTTATTGTTTGGGTTTTTTGTACTATAATTAAAAAATAAAAAACTTGTGTATTAGTAGTTTTTTTGTTTTGTTGTTGTTGCAGATTCATATTCTGAGTTTTAGGAGATTCATCTTGGGTAATTTCAGGAAGGAACAACAAATTATCCAGAGACAACAATTAATTTATTCCTGACCCTATTGTGTTAAAACCACCATCTAGCCCCCTGGGTCCCTCATGCCTCCATAAATATAGCAAAGTCTTACTGTATTCAAGCCTGAAGCTGTAGATCTGCATGCTATTTGACTCAGAAAAACAAGTTGTCTGCTGACATCATCAGAAGTGGTGGCCTGATCCAATCACAATGCTTCCCCATAGGATTGGCTGAGACTGACAAGGCAGATCAGGGGCAGAGCCAGCGTGATTCAAACACAGCCCTGGCCAATCAGCATCTCCTTATAGAGATTAATTGAATCAATGAATCTCTATGAGGAAAGTTCAGTGTCTGCATGCAGAGGGAGGAGATACTGAATGTTTGGATGCATTTTAGGCAGCCATGACCCAGGAAGGATCTCTAACAGCCATCTGAGGAGTGGCCAGTGAAGTTATCACTAGGCTGTAATGTAAACACTGCATTTTCTCTGAAAAGACAGTGTTTACAGCAAAAAGCCTGAAGGTAATGATTCTACTCACCAGAACAAATTCAATAATGTAGTTGTTCTGGTAACTATAGTGTCCCTTTAACACGTGTCGGAAGAAACTCATTTTCATTTAAAAGGTATCAATAAGAATAACTGTCATTTAGGGGGAACAGGAAATCCACGGATAACTCATCAGCGCCAGTTGAAGGATGTTATTTAGTGTGTGTGTAAACTCATCAGCATGAGGTTGTTTACCGGCTTGGTAACCAACCTCATGCTGATGAGTTGCATTAACAGAACAGCTGCCCATGAGTGGTTCACTGGCTTTGCATCTCTTCCCGAGTTGTGTTTCAGTGCTGTTGTATACAGAAAACATTATCTCCAAGGAATCATATTTAAAATGGAATAATGAGGCAAAAAGGTGATTCATTTTTTAACTAATTTGCATATGCCCACCCAGAATCCCTTAACGTAGGAACATTACTGCAAATTTGAGATTTCTGTGGGAAAAGCAAGTCTTATGGCTTGACTGGTGTGTGCAGGTATGTTTTTAACAATGTATTGACATCAGGGCTGGACTGGGAATTAAAAGCAGCCCTGGAAAAAAAATATTTACCAGCCCCATAATGCGTCGCACCAGCATAGTGTGCAGAGTTAGAACAGATAACTTAAAATTAAAAAGTACTTCAACGTAAAAAAGCGCACTCATTGGCTTCAAAATAAACAAAAGTGCAGATTTATTTTAAGCAGACATGCCTTTGCATGTAATCAATGTTTCAGTCCAACTACCTTGACATATTAAGGAAAGCTTGTTAATTTGACTGAAATGGTGAATGTATGTAGGGCACAACTGTAAAAATTTTTTATTTTGAAGTCCTGTGGGTGTGCTCTTCACTTTAAATATGTTATTGTGCTGGAGTTTGCACCTAGCAACAAGACTGGGCCAATATCTGCTCATTACATAAGGTACATATTAATGAAATTTCTCTGTGCATTTTGCATGTATAAATGTACATTAATATGTGTAAATATAATATATATATATATATATATATATATATATATATATATATATATATATATAATACACACATTAATATACATGTCATATACCAGTGGCGGATCCAGAGCCTGAGCCCGGGAGGGGAACTTGTAGATTATTTAAAGAAATATTCCATGCACAATAACCACTACTCCTCTGTGTAGTGGTTATGGTGCCAGGAGCGTCGGCACCCCCTCCCAGAGTAAGTAGTCAAACTGTTTAAGAACAGTTTGACAACTTACCTGGAGTCTGCTGGGATATGGGGCTGTAGTAGGGTATAGGAGCAGTGGTGCAATGTGTGTGAAAGGTTCAGTGTGTGGGTGGGCAGTGTGTGAATGTGTATGGTGTGTGTGTGTGGAGGCAGTGTGTGAATGTGTATGGTGTGTGTATGGGGCTAGAGTTCACTCCTACTAATGCAACCACCAGGAAGTGGTGAGAGTGAACTCTAGCCCGTAGCTCCAGGGCTAGAGTTCACCCTTGTGAGAGCCGGAGCGTTGCCCCGGGCCCTCTCTTCCTCCCCTGCCGGCTGCCTGCACGGTGCCTGTGGAACGGGGAGGGAGATCGGCCGGCAGGGGAAAGCCTCGGGGGGTGGGCGGATATATACTGCCCCTGTGTGTGTCTCTTTATCGCAAGCCCCTCTATGTGCCTTTTTGTGTCCCCCAGTCACTCTGTATGTTTCTTTCTCCCCCTCACTGCTCCTCTGTGTCAATGTCTCCCCTCCCCTTCCCAGTCTCTCTCTTCCCCCTCTGCCTCTTTCTTCCCCTCCCCATGTGTGTCTCTCTCTTTTTCTCCCTCTTTGTCTCTCTCTTCCCCCTCTGCCTCTTTCACCCCTTTCCCTGTGTCTCTTCCTCCCCATCTCTCTCCCTCCCCCTTTCCCTGTGTCTCTCCCCATCTCTCTCCCTCCTCCCTTTCCCTGTGTCTCTCCCCATCTCTCTCCCTCCCCTTTCCCCGTCTCTTCCCATCTCTCCCTCCCTTTTCCTGTCTCTCCCATCCTCTCCTCCCTCCTTTCCTGTGTCTCTCCATCCTCTCTCCCTCCCCCAACTTTCCTGTGTCTCTCCATCTCTCTCCCTCTCCCATCTCTCTCCCTCCTTTGCCTGTCTCTCCCATCTCCTCTCCCACTCCCCTTTCCTGTGTGTCTCTCCATCTCCTCTCCCTCCCCCGCTTTCCTGTGTCTCTCCTCTCTCCCCTTTCCTGTGTCTCTCCTCTCTCCTCCTCCTCCTTTCCTGTGTCTCTCCCATCCTCTCTCCCCTCCCCTTTCCTGTGTCTCCTCCTCATCTCTCCTCCTCAGCAGCCTCCTCAGTGATGCTCCTCTGTCCTCTCCCTCCCTTTCCTGTGTCCTCTCCCTCCCTTTCCTGTGTCTCCTCCTCTCTCACTCCCTTTCCTTGTGTCTTTCTTTATCTCTCCTCCCTCTTTCCTGTGATGTCTCTCTCTCTCCTCCCCTTTCCTGTATCTCTCCTCTCTCTTCCTCCCCTTTCCCTGTGTCTCTCCTCTCCCTCCCCTTTTCCTGTCTCTCCTCTCTCCTCCTTTTCCTGTTGATGTCTCCTCTTTCTCTCCCTCCCACTTTCCTGTGTCTCCCCAAATCTCTCTCCCTCCCCCCTTTCCGTGTCTCTCTCCTCTCCCCCCATCTCTCCCCCCTCTTTCCCTGTGTCTCTCCCCTTTCCCCATCTCTCTCTCCCTCCAACCCATCTCTCCCCCCCTTTCCCTGTGTCTCTCCCCATCTCTCTCCCTCCCCCCTTTCCCTGTGTCTCTCCCCTCTCCCCATCTATCTCCCTCCCCCTCCCACCATTTACTTACAGAAGTCAGGGGCCGCCAGACTGGAGCGGCAGCTTCCCCGGTCCGGCCCTGCTCCTGTCACTGTTGTGGCTGCTGATGGCTGATAGAGGAGGAGCCTGTCTCTGTACCATGCTCCCTTGTGGGAACCGCGAGGGAGCATGGTACAGAGACAGGCTCCTCCTTCATCCATCAGCAGCCACTGACAGGAGCAGGGCCGGACCGGGGAAGCTGCCACCCGGCCCGGCGGCTCCAGCCAGGAACCCGGCCGGCCCCTTCTGAGTGCCACCGGACCGGCCACCCGGTGGCACCCATGTGCGCAGCCCCAATTTCCCGGTATCCCGGTGGGCCAGTCCGGCCCTGATTGACATTATATTATTTTCTTACCCCTCCTGGGTGGTATGTTCATTTACCTGGGAGTCTGAGGGTTCTGCACAGTATCTTAGCTTTTCCTAGAACTCCATTCTTCTTGACAGCAATCTCAGATGTTCCACCTGGAATCTGTTGAAGTCACTCCCCCAACTTGGGAGTCACACCACGAGTGATCTTATCACAACAGAGACTACTACTACCTTCATTTTCCACATCCTTTCTAGCTCTTCTTTCAGTTCTTGGTATTTGTCCATAGTCTCATGTCCCTTCTTTCTGATGCTATAGTCACTGAATACTGCCACATTCACCACAACTGCAGTCTTCTGTTCCCTGTCTACCATCACAGTGCCTGATTAGTTGGCCAGTACTTGCTTGTCTGTCTGGACCTGGAAGTCCCACAGGCTTTTAGACTTGTCATTCTCAACTACCTTTTGTGGTATCTCCCATCTAGACTTAGGCAGGTCCAGCCCATATTCTGTACAGATGTTTTGTTACACAATCCCAGCAACTTGGTTGAGTCTCTCCTTGTATGCTGTTCCTGCTAACATCTTGCATCCAGCTAATATGTGCTAGATTTTCTCAGAAGCCTCTATGCACATTCTGCACCTTGGGACATGCCTGGTGTGGTAGACTCCCGCTTCAATTGATCTGGTGCCCGTTCCTGTGCTGCTAGGATTAGTGCCTCAGTGCCGTCTTTCAGTCCTGCCTTTTCCAACCACTGGTAAGATTTTGCCATGTGAGCCACATGCACTATCTGCCGGTGGTACATGCCATGGAGAAATTTGTAATGAATAAGGGCTAGAACAGGCTTTAAATAGGTTCAAAGTTCCCATTGGTCCACATCATTTCTGCAACCCCAAACAGCATGGGGTCGCCTAGTTAAGGCTGTCTATTTAAGGGTGTGACATAATGGGAATATAATTATATAAGGAGCTGCAATTCGGTCAGCAAACCAGCAGAGGGAATTGTTTGCGGGACCGAAGGTGAGTATACTATTCAGGCCACGCAGAGCTTTCAGGCCATGCGGCCTGAGGACTGCAGAAGTGTGGCTACACGGTGCGTTCTGCTCATGTAATCAGAGGAGCGGGCACTGGGCACAAGTAAGTTTGTGACAGAACCCTCCTGGGAGGATATGCCCACTGGGTGTGAAGAAGCAGGCTTGCCCAGGTGACGTTGATGAAAGGAACAGACCAATCTTGGAGAATGCCTATCAACTTGAGGGACCCAGGAATGGTCTTCAGGACCCCTTACATACCCCTTACAAGTCCAGAACATACAATACAGGTTTCATGTTACGCAGGATGCAGGAAGGACAAATGAAACTAGGAACAAACTTTATCCAGGGCACACGAAGACATATGTTTCAGGTAGAAAGCCAAACCCTATCCCCTTTCCCATAGGGAGAAGCTGCACGACGATGCCTATCCACCTGTACCTTCTGTCTCTGAGCAGCCTTAGCCAATAGTTGTTGAACCTGCACCCAAGTACTACGCAATCCAGCCATGTGCTCATCCAGAGCCAACATTCCCTGTGAGGAGAATGCAGTCGAAAGTACAACAGGATGCCAGCTATAAACTATGTAAAAAGGGCTGAACCCAGAGGATTCGTGAGCAGCGTTATTGCGAGCAACCTCCGCTCAAGTAAGCAGGTCAATCCAATCATCTTGTTGAAGAGAAACAAAACAACGTAGATACTGCTCAAGAAACTTGTTGGCACGTTCAGCAGCTCCATCAGTCTGAGGATGGTAAGCAGGGGAAAAAGACAATTCAATACCCATCTCCAAGCAAAAGGCCCTTAAGAAGCGAGAAACAGATTGACTACCTCTGTCAGATACAATTTGTTCTGATATGCCATGTAGATGGAATATCTCTATGGAGAAAATCCTAGCTAATTCTGCTGAGGAGGAGGAGTTTTACAGCGGTATGAAATATGCCATCTTAGAAAACCTATCTACGACCATAAGTATGACAGGATGTACATTGGAAGGGGGAAGTTACACGAAAAAATTCGATAGACAAGTTGGACCAGGATTTAGTGGGTATGGGTAAAGGTTGGAGCAAACCACATGATACCCTGTGAATGGTCTTGTTAGCTGCACAATTGTCACAAGCAAGCACATAGTCTTTTATGTCCCTCTTTAGAGAAGGCCACCAGAAGTCACGAGCTACAAGGTTAGTGGTCTTGGATATTCCAGGATGTCTGGCGGGTTTGCTAACTTTCTGCCTAACAGTAGAAGTAACAAACAATTTATCGCTGGGCTTGTCTTCAGGTGACTCAGCGTAAGTAGATATGATGTGACTTAACAGTGAAGAGGATATGGAAAGAACTGTTGTAGCTACAATTCTTTCTGGGGGAATGATATAACACTCCTCGGGTTTCTCCTCTTTTCTCACATCGAACTGTCCGGACAAAGCATCGGCCTTGGCATTGCGTGGTCCAGGTCTATAAGTAATTATAAAATTAAATCTGGACATGAAGAGAGACCATCTTGCCTGCCTGAAATTCAACCTTTTTGCCTCTCTGAGGTACAGAAGGTTCTTATGATCGGGTAGCACCATGATGGGATCTTGTGAACCTTTTAGGAAATGCCTCCACTCCTTCAAGGCCAATAAACAGCTGACAATTTCTTAGGATCCATAATGAACCCAGAGGCCGAAATAACACAACCCAAGAAATGGACTTCTGCCAGTTTACAATACAGACCGTTGTCGAGATGTGTTTGTAAAACCTTAGAGACATGTACGTGATGTGTACTTAGGTCAGGGGAATATATCAGGATATTGTCCATGTCCAAGTACACTATCAGAAATTAATGTATAAAGTCTCTGAAAAAGTCATTGATAAAATTTTGGAAAAACGCTGGAGCATTACGTAGGCCGAAAGGCATGACTGCATATTCATAATGCCCGCTTCTGGTGTTAAAGGCGGTTTTACACTCATGCCCCTCTTTTATGAGTACCAAGTTGTATGTACCCCTTAGATCCAGCATTGTAAAGACAGAGGCCCCTTTTAACATGTGAAAAAGCTCTGTGATAAGGGCAATAGGATACGCATTTTTTATTGTGATCTTATTCAACCCTCTATAGTCTTTGCAGGGGTGAAGACCACCCTCTTTTTTGGACACAAAAAATAAACCAGTCCCAGCTGGAGAGGAAGATCTACATATAAAACCCTTCGCTATCGAATCTCTAATATACTCCTCCATGATAGTACTCTCCTGGAAAGACAAGGGATAAACCATTCCTTTAGGAGGCATAGTACCAGGTAGATCTATGGTAATCTGTCTGCCTCCCTCTTGCCAAACACCGCCTTAAGGTGTATGTAAGGAGAGGGTATGTGTGTAGACAGTGGTGGAGCAGTAAAAACATTAATGTTATGAACAGGTGTAACTTTTCCTATGCATTTCACCTGATATGTATCACTCCATGATATTTCTCCCTGTCTCCAGTAGTGATGTCGCGAACCCGAAATTTTCGGTTCGCGAACGGCGAACGCGAACTTCCGCAAATGTTCGCGAACCGGCCGAAACGCCATTGACTTCAATGGTGAGGCGAATTTTAAAACACACAGGGACTCTTTCTGGCCACAATAGGGATGGAAAAGTTGTTTCAAGGGGACTAACACCTGGACTGTGGCATGCCGGAGGGGGATCCATGGCAAAACTCCCATGGAAAATTACACAGTTGATACAGAGTCTGGTTTTAATCCATAAAGGGCAGAAATCACCTAACATTCCTAAATCACAATCAATATGGATTGACACCTGACATATGACATATTGACACCTTGACATATGGATTGACACCTGTCCTCAGAGCCCCTGATGCACACGGACACAGAGCAGAATAGGGACTGTTCCCCTACATAGGGTCACTTGGCAGATATGGATTGACACCTGTCCTAAGGATCCCTGATACACACTGACACAGAGCAGAATAGGGAATGTTACCCCAACATAGGGTCACTTGGCAGATATGGATTGACACCTGTCCTCAGAGCCCCTGATACACACTGACACAGGCAGAATAGAGACTGTTCCCCCTACATAGGGTCACTTGGCATATATGGATTGACACCTGTCCTCAGAGCCCCTGATACACACTGACACAG